AAAGAAACCTGCTGGAGACAACAACCTAAATCAGTGGGCGGAAAGTGACCAAGAAGAAACTGAATAATGCACAAAGTCACAGGAAGGCTTCTGAAGCTTGGCACTCGTTGTTATGTAGAAACTTGCACATAGAACAACTGCCTTAGACTTCCTAGGGTTGCCTGTTGTTTTTTGTTCGAATAAGTATATGAACACATCTCTCAAATGAAACGGAATGCTGTGAGTTTGAGTGTCCTTCTAGAGGATTATGTGGTGATCTGAAGTGTGTGTGTATGTGTGTGCTCACGGCTTTTATTTTTTAGACCATTTCTTGCCTCTCTTTTTCTTGCAATTCTTGAAAGATGTTTATTTAAAAATATATAAAAGCTTTGATATTTTTCTAGTAACAGAAGCTCAGATTCTGTGAATGAAGCAATGGTTTAAAACTTTAGCTGTAATGAAAAACACAATCCTAATATTTCATTACAGGCAGAGATAGCACTTTTAGAACTTGTTTAATTATTGGAAACATTCATTTATGTCAAAAGTGTAACTGATATTARAAGTTCTTTTGCCTCAACTTGAATGTACAGTATACTGTAGATTTTTAACAAAACAGGTTCTATATTTATTAAGTTGCGTGATTTGAAAATACCTCTTTGATATTTCAGATGACTTTAAGTGCAAGATCTTTATATATTTGTAAATAGACAAAGTAAGTGATTATGCTAAGATGCCATGAATGAAACACATGTATCCATAATATTATTTTACATAATAATTTAAATTGTTTTATAGTGATGCTCAGTTTACAGATGCATTTGGACTTTCACTGTTTCAGTCAAGAAACAATTTATTTCAAGCATATCTGAATAATAAATGTGTCTGTTCTAAGAAACCCTGATTCTGTGTTTTATGTGCATTAAATGTTTAAGCTATCTTGATTTTAGAGCTAAGGTTCACTACCTCAACAAATGTTTGGTGCTGTTTTTAGCTTTTGTTTGTTTTTCCTTTTAGTGGATGCCAGAATTATTTTGGTGGAGTCTTAGGGAAATCTGCTTTGTTTATATCTTAGTGAAAGTGTTGAGTAAAGATGAGATGCTTCAAACTTTCCTTCGGCTGTGCACTTCTGCAAGAAACTTTTGTCCTTATCAAGGTAGTAGAAAGCTTAGAGTCCTCTGTTGCAAATGAATTGCTGCAGTTGCCCTTATGTTCAGAATTGGTAGTGATTGGGCTCCCTGAAAAATTAGCTGTAAAATAACRTAAGAAAAAAAAAATGAAACTCCAAGGAGGTAATGCTGAAAACTCTGATGATTTYGCTGATTATCTCAATTCTTTGTATTGCAGCTGGAGAAAAATTAATAGCCAGTAAATTTATGAATGTGCTTAGAGTAAGGTTCTGGACTGAGCATCTTCAAGGAAGCAGAGTGCTCTGGGCATTAATGTTTTTTTCTGCGGCATAGGCTGGGCTTATAGGCTTTACTATAATCATCATCAGCAGCATGGGTTTTCAGAAATAATCTTGATTTTTCCATTTCAACTCCTCCAGTTCACTCCCAATGAACAGGAGATCATTAGCGATACCTGCTGATATAAATTAACATATCTTCACTATAATGCACTAGACAGATATTACCTGTTTTTTAGTTAGGGAAGAATAAAACTACATTTTCTGAAACATTAAGATAGGCAAAATGAGAAGTGGAAGGTATTGGCAATTTAGTGAGAGGACAGTGAMTTGCATCTGGGGCTCCTCTTTTCAAATAGATTAACCAGTTCTTTTGAATACGTAGTTGTGATGGTAGCAACATGCCAGCAGGGGTTGCTGTTGTTTTAAGGTAATTAAGTCATGGTTTTTGATGGTTTACAGGGGCACTTARAGGTATTATTGATGGATAACTTAGTTGGACTTTCTTATTTGACAACTTTTCTTCATGGCCGTAACTCTGAGGCAGTAATACCTTTCAAAGAGCAAAATAATTGCTTACTCTTTTAGTGCATTAGTAGTTGTCCAGTCATTAGTAAGTTGTGTTTATTGAATAAATAACAGCTAATAACCTTTTTTTTTTYYTTTTTTTTTTCTTTTTTTCTTTTTTTGCTTTGCTTTAAGATGCTATATTCCATGTTACAAGAGTGGTGACTTGTTTAAATGCCTCCATTGGAGAACTAGCTCTGCTAGAAATAGCGGACAAGTCCACAGTTGGCTTCATAGACCTTGAGGAGTGTGTGAGCATAGATTCAGCCCTGTAACTGTGCAGAAAGAAAGCAGGTGTAGAGTTTTTGGATTAYTGCATGCATTGCTTGGGCAACTTCTCAGTCTGTAGCTGCTGCTACAAGTGAGTGTTGGAGTATTGCAGATGGCCTGGTTGGTAGCACAGTGACACTCCTTGAGCATGGGGAGGTGTTAGGGCTGTATGGATCTACTGAGACTGCTGAAGAGCAAAGGGGAGGCCACTCAGAGGAGGTGAGAACCACTAAATATGGGTGCATAGTTGAGCTAGTGAAGTAGCCAGCTTTAGAGGGGACCAGCAGTACTGCTCCCAGCAGCTATGGTTGGTGTGCTGTTAATATTAGCTGTATAGGCATAATACTGAAAAGACTAGTGGATCTCTTGCACCCTGTGGTGCTTTATTTTGCAAAACTTTTAACCATAATTTACATTGCTTGTTGCTATCTAARTATCTCCTTCAGTTTAAATGAAGAGAGCACTATTACCAAAAACATTGAGTAGATACAAGGCATGAGAACTTGCTTTCAGCAGTCCGTTYGCAGTTCTTAAATGTTTCAGTTGCCGTAGTTGAAGATAATACAGTATTTTTTTTCTCAAAACAGTATAATAATAAAAAATTTTACTTAAGAAAAAAACTTATTCCGGTTAAAAATTACTATGGAATTTGGAAGGAAGCAAACTCGGGCACATGCTTTTTTATTTTGCATCCCCTCTAAGCCCCTTCCTAACCTGAAGGTTTGGTTCCAACAGCTTCTGCTGACTGTTGCACTACTCCATTAGGGCAGGTCARAAATATTTCCATGTGTATGAAAAAAATCACTGCTCTTCTTGGGATATTGGATGTACACTTCAGCTGGACCAAGGTAATTTTATGTTAAATGCACAGGTAATACTTAAATGGGTTGTCATTGAAAGGAAAATAAAAAAATACTTAACAGAGTATAATCAGAAATGCTGAATAGGGTAAGGTTCAGATATTTTAAGGGTGTCAGTCAGTGTATGTAGAATTAAATACAGGTGTCTTGTTTTCACCTGTTTCCCCTCATCCATCTAATTTGGAGAGAAATAATATATGAATGATGATGGAAGGATGATATAATTGGATCCAAGAAGTTATGTCCCCTCAWATTATATACTGATGATTCATTATTTACTTTCAGACAGTACAACTGATCTCTGAAGTTCACCATCCCCTACAAAGCTGCACTGTAATAATAAWWWAAAAAATCCTGTGGTGTGCACTGTGTTTTAGTTTTCAGGTTGACACTGAATTCATGGTGTTAAAGTCCTTAATTTTTGAGGTATACAAGACATTTTATGCAGCTGCAGTTTTAAGTTTGTATTAAGGAAATGTTCAMCTGTACAAAAACTAATTGCAGTTGCATGGCGGAGTTTGCCTGCATCATTGTGAAAAGTTCATCACCTGAGGCACAAAATGTGCTSACCTCTTTTTAGCATAACAATAGACTGATAATTATGGAGGGGAAAAAAAAAATCAGTCCTCTGAAGTGAGCTGGATGGCAGCTCCCAAAATAGARTTTGCACAACCCCAGGTCAATTCAGATTTAATTGGGTATATTTGGAAAAGTCAAGATTTATTGAACAGACAAACTAGGAAGAGTGGTTATTAGTGGGAAACTGTAGAAATTGCTGAAATAGATTAGTTTTTTGTCATTAGAACAGTCTTTACTACAATTCATACAGTTCTGACTAATCTTCCTATATAACAGGCATTGTGGGAACAGAAATAAAATGATTAAATAACCCGTATGTCATAGACTTTAAGTTAGCGGTCACAATGTTCATGGCTTGAAATCTGCAATTCACCGCAGTCCTTGAAGTTATTCTTCCAGAAACAGTCATTAACTCAGAACCCCTCCATTGTTTTTTATGTATTTTCCTTTAGTTGTTTCACCCGCCATCCAGCTCACTTCAAAAGATAGTAACTTTTATTTTCAGAGCTGACAAGGTCTCATTTCTCTATGCTGCTTAAAATCTCTATGTTTTAATTATTCACATTTGAACAGTCATTTACCTTGGAAGATGCAATATTTACAGATTGCTTTGGAAATCTTTGTTCATTTAAAAAATATTTCTGGTCAGTGTGACCTGAGCTGAGAGGACATGCTGGTCTTCTGATGAAAATAAATACATTATATCTACCTACATATCAATATGTCTATATAGATAGAGCTTCTCAGTATGGTGTTTAATGTGTTTTGGTGCACATATGGGAACAAAGAATAGTAAGTAATAGTTTGTACCTTGATCTCCTCTCTGCAGGGGTGACCATAGTTAAAGGAGGAGGCAGGAGAAAGAAAACTGGAAGCGCTGGATGCTGCTGACCCTATTTTGTTAATTGGGCCACTGTCAGTTGGGTAACAGTGAGGGTCAGGTGCCAGGTCAACATAACCTGGGCAAAATCAGCCTAATCTGTGGCAGAACCAAGTACCTGCAGCCAGCCATGACTTCATCTAGGAAATTAAGTAACATGTTTTTTATAAATTTATGGTAAACTGCCTAGTAAAAATGTTTTACTAGGAAAATTAGAAAATCTTTCTTAGATTAGAAAATCTTAAATCAGCAAAGATTTAAAATAATAAAGTCATTGGATGCCAAGGTTGGTCTTGATTTCCTTCATTCTATGCGAAGAGAATTTATGATTGCAAAAAGGGAAGTGTTTACATAAACTGATAAAAACTTGAGAATTCAGCAGAATAGGGCCACGTGTTCCTGAGTGTGCTTCCATAAAAGTGTCACCATACCTGGCAGGTCCTCATTCGCCTTCACTATGAGGGGAATCACATTAGCCCTCGTGTTCACGCTTGTGGGTAAGCTTGCTCTCTTCCCTTCTTCATTTGTATTTCCCGAAATTTCTTGAATATTGGTGAACAAATCTGGACCGAATGTTACTCATGCGTTTTTCCCATCTCTTTTTGCAGCTAGCCAGAAGTTTGACATCGGTAAGTAAAGATAGTTTTAAAATTTCTTCAGTGGCTTTCTTTTGGTGACTATTAGAATATACTGACAATTATGAAAATGGCTTTTTATTCTCACAGATCCTGGATTTAGTAGCAAAAGGACTTATGTTTACAGCTATGAAGGCTTGATATTGAATGGGCTTCAAGAAAGAAGCTTAGCCAGAGCTGGCTTGCGCTTGAGCTGCAAACTCGAGATCAGTGGGCTATCAGATAACACCTATCTCCTCAAGGTACAGTGTCTGCTTTCAAAGAAAACTCACCAAATAATCCTGAGTTATAATCTACGGTTAAACAGCGAATCTGTATTTTGAGAAAGCTCTGGAAAACAATTCCAAAGACTTAGAGCTCTGCAGATTTTAGAAAATCATTTGCAAGTGGAAGTTTAATTTGCCATTCAGCCTTTTATGGGTGTTTAGTGTGACAAACTGCTGGTAGTGTGTGAGTGTCAAATTACTCATCAGAAATGGAGAGGCCACAATCAGGAGTTGCTTTAGCAAATTCTGGTTTTCAATGCAGGAGACTCAAGCCTGCTCTGTTCTTAAGATTGGCTTTTATTCTCATCTTACATTTCCAATTCCTGTGTAAAGCTAAGACGTAGTTACATAAAAATGCAGACAATTAATAAGCATAGGTTATATTTACACATTTSAAACAAGCTATAATCATCAAAAATGAACATGTAACAAAGTTTCATATTTGAATAATACAGTAGAAGGCCTGTAAATAAGAAATTGTTGGTATGGGTAGCAATAGGACCTGACCCATCCTAAATAAATACATTTCAGACAAGTATTTTTATCTATATAATTTATTTACAAAGTAGACCTTTTTTTACTCTGAGTTCAATGACAGATCTCTCAGTAGKTTTAGTAAGACTGTAGATATTCCTTCATTAATGAAGGTAAGAATTCACTGTAGATCTTTCACTWATGAAGGCAAGAATTCTACGTTCGGAGATTTCACCCTGAAGATGTTGTAATGTGTGTAAGCCACTAGACTGCTCTCAGACACCAGTGGAAACTAGCAGTTAATTCACCAGAGTACAATTGTTTCTGATACCTATTGTCCCTCTGTGTGTTGTTTTTGTTGTTTTTTATATATATACATATATAAATATGTACGTATATGTATATATATAATTATATAATATATGCATATATATAAAAATTCATTATTTTTAGTAGATCGGTAGATCATTAAAGTAGATCAGTGGATCATTAAAGTAGATCAGTAGATCATTAAAAATAAGGTTAATTTAAGCAATTCACGACTGTGGGTGAAATTTGACAGCATTTTTAGGTTAAACAATTTGCCAGAATACGTTCTGGGAGGAGGAGGTTGAAAATGCAACATTTTAAGATATACTTTTTATAATTTAGAAAGATGTACCCTTTCTGAATGGTGACTTTCACCTAGGTCAGAGTAATGTCTATCTAAAGGCTGAAAGAAAAAATATTTTGATTTGAATCTGTTGAGATTTTAAAAACCTCACCACAAAATAATGTGTCAACTGTTTTGTAACATAACACTGCTGAGTCTAGAGGGTTTATCCCGATTTCAAAATAACATAAACAAGAGAGGAGAGAATGGACTGCTGTATGCATATCCAGGCCTACATTGCAAAGGAAGAGTATATAACYAACAATGACATTAATTTCTTTCAATCTGTTTGCATATTTAGTACTAAAGCACTACTACTAATATATACAATGTTATTCACATATAGAAATAAATGTATTTCTCACATTCCCTCTCAGGTCCGATCTCCACAAGTGGAAGAATACAATGGAATCTGGCCCAAGGATCCATTCTTTCGCTCTTCCAAAATCACCCAGCTGGTGTCTACATGTTTCACCCGGCCCTTCAAGTTTGAGTACACTAGCGGGCGAGTTGGAAATATTTATGCCCCCACAGACTGCCCTGTTACATGTATTAACATGGTGAAGGGAATGGTGAACCTGATGCAGATAACAATTAAGAAATCACAGAATGCGTACGAGTTGCAAGAGGTTTGTTTTTACTTTTCTAAAACTACTTCACTGAAAAAAAAGTATTATTTTGGGGTACTCTTTATTCAAGTTCATATTTATTTGCATCTACTTTCAAAACTCCATCATCCAACAGAAAGTCCATTTTCATTCACAGAAGAGGGAAGGTATATATAGATGTTGAAGTAACTGCTTCTGTTGGAATTTTTTTTAAGATGTCTCTATAATTGATTTACTTAAAATGCAATACTTCCAAGGAAAAAAAGGAAAACGAATCATTCAGTATTAGTTATTTGTTATATAACTTCCCAAGTACAATTGCTTCATCCATTTTAATCTGTTCACTGCTCGTATTAAATAATTGATTACCTTTTCATTYGAAATTCAGTTAGCTTTTGTCGTCATGTGTATTTTTCACTCAATTTGCATTAAGAATGAGTAATTGTAGCAGATCTCAGCATATAGCTATCAGAGCTCAGAATCCTTGCCATCACACTGTGCTGCCAGGATGTTCATTCAGTGAACCTGCACTGAAATTATCTCTGTGCTTCTGTGCAGGGTGGAATCGGAGGTGTTTGCCATACCAGGTATGTTATCCAGGAAGACAGGAAGAATGGCAGAATGTCTGTTACCAAAACCATCGACCATAGCAATTGCCAAGAGAGTGTGATGAAGAGCGTTGGAATGGCTTATCTCCGCCCTTGTCCTGAGGACATGTTGGTATGTAAGATCCCAGCGGATCTTCCTCGTGTCCAGCGGAGCCGTGGCATTCCCACTCATTCTGTGGATTTCTTTGTCCTTGTTTAGAAGGGAAGGCCTGTAAAAGGGACTTCAGCTTTCTCCTACAAACTGAAGCAGTCGGACAGCGGTACCCTCATAACAGAAGTGGCATCGCAGCAGGTCTATCAGATCTCGCCCTTCAGCGAACCCACTGGCGTTGCTGTCATGGAAGCAAGGTAGGCCGGGGATGAGACTATCAAAAATGAGAATAATTATAAATTCTGGATGTCTTTTTTTTTCATCTCCAACTGAAATGAAGTGAGAAATAAACTTGGTAGTGGCTGGGTAGAGCAACATGTGCTCATTACAGTGTTTCCCCAAGCTTAAGAACTGAGTGAACCATTTTTACTTGTAGCCCACTGAACTTTGCACTTTAATTGTGTGGAAGAAGGAAAAGTCTTTTGCTCCCTAACATTATCAGAATGCAATATTTCTAGCATTGCTGACCCCAAAAGCTTAATTTATGCTGTCAGGAGGAATATTGTGCACATAGAAATAAAATAATTGATTATACAGAATCAGTAGCTTTTCTTCAAAGGACAGCAGTTTAGCTCATCTTCAGAATAGATTTGACTGTAACTCAAATACTGTTTTATTCTYGTAATAAGATTCTACCTATTCCCAAAGTGTACAATTTTATTGTGGTAAGAAAAAGGAGTAAAGGCCAGAACCATTATCTTCACAGTGTTACTGAATCGATAAATAGCCAGGGCAGATGGAGAAAGATAAGTATTTTATTCCTCAATAACCCTTTCTCTCTGACTGCTGACAGACAACAGCTCATCTTGCTGGAAGTGAGAAGCGAACGAGCAAGTTCCCCAGATATTTCCATGCAGAGCCACGGGAGCCTTCGTTACCAGTTCCCAACAGTGCTGTCACAGATGCCACTTCAGCTGATCAAGACAAAAAACCCCGAGCAACGGGTACAGAATTCCTAAGTCTTCAAATTGCTTTGCTACTCAAAAATTTAATAAATAGTGTATAATCACAAGCACTGAATGATCTAATTATGGATTATCTCTCCTCTGATGTTTTGTGACAGATACTAGAAACACTGCAACACATAGTCCCAAATAACCAGCAAGATTTCCATGATGATGTCCCATACAAATTCTTAGAGCTCGTCCAGCTCTGCCGGCTTGTGAGCACTGATACTCTTGAGTCTTTCTGGAAACAGTTTTCAGATAAACCTCGTTACAGGTATTTGGTTGCATAGCCCTCAAAGAAACTTCTCATGTTTGAAGAAATGAGAACTAAAATTAAGATTTTTTTTTCTTTTTTAACCTGATTGCAGGCGATGGCTGCTGAGTGCCATTTCTGCAGCGGGCACAACAGAAGCACTCAAATTTGTCAAGAACAGAATTCGCAATGATGAGCTGAACAATATTCAGGCTTTTATGGCTGTTTCTTTTACTCTTCATTTAATGAATGTGGATGAAGACAGTCTTCCAGTAGCAGCAGTGAGTAATTCCATGTGAAACTTTCTTAACAGATAACAACAGAAGTGATAACAGATGATTTTTGATTCTAAATTATTTAGAATGTGGCTTCTCCTCTTGTATATACTAATTTTTATTTTAATGCTGYTCAGTCAATCTCTTTTGACATTTCTTGTGTGAGAGGAGAGCTCAGCCTTGTATCTTCATTTTGCTATATTGATATAAAAACTCCTATAGCATCTTCTGATAGTTACTCCCATTGTAGTTTGCTGGAACTTTGTCATAGCTTCTACACTCAAATCTTGATGCACTTCTGTATCTAACTTCTGAAACAAAGGGTGATGTCAGTCATGCCATCAAAGGGCTTTGTCACTTGAATAGCTCTTTCAATTGAAAAATATTTCTGTAAACTGGAATAAAGGATTGTAAGTAAAAGTGCTAAACATCAACTTTTTCACACTTATTGTGAACAGGATTTTTCCCGTTTCTAGCAAATCCTTCTCTTTTTAAATAGGAAAAAAAAAAAGTGTGAATGTATCACTAATATAAATGAATTACACATTGTCATAGGGRTATTCTGTTTGTAGATGGGCACTTGCCCATAATCTTTGTATTTTCAGCTTGAAGCTTAATTGAGGAAAAAGGCAACTGTGCTCTATAAATTAATTTAAATACGTTTTTTAGAATATTGTGACTAATAGGAAGTGAAGCTCCTAAATTAAGCTTGCACATAAAATGATCTATAATGCGATCTATTTTGCTTGGCTGTGAATGATGCTCAGTCTGAAATTGCTCTCCCTGCAGAAACCCTGATAATTTTCTAGAAACTATGCTAAGAATTGTATTAAATACCAATTTAAATGTTTTTCTCTTCTTTTGACAGGATTTACTGACCAGTTCTCGAATTCAGAGAAGTCCCATGCTTCAGCAGGTTGCCTGCTTGGGATACAGTTCTGTTGTAAATAGATACTGTTCTCAGAGCTCAACTTGTCCTAAAGAAGCTCTTCAGGTCAGTGGTCTCTTCTCAAATTGTTCTTGATAAGCAGGTGTAATAAATGTTAATAAGATGTAGTGTATAAATAGTAATTGGAGTTACAAATACATAATTTATAGGCCTCTTTCAGAGCAAAGGGAATGAATAATTTTGCTAGTGTAGATATTTGCTTTATCATTGAAGATACGTAAGTTAAAAATCTTGAGAGAAGCAGCTACTAAATAATTTTATCAAAACCTATGTGGGCAAAGAAAACACGTAGGACAATTTCTACACCAGGTAGAAGAGCCTGACCTGTGCTTTGTCTACAGCCCCTCCATGACCTCGCAGATGACGCCATCAGCAGGGGCCGTGAAGACAAGATGAAGTTGGCTCTGAAGTGCCTTGGTAACGTGGGAGAGCCTGCAAGCATAAAGCGCATCCTGAAGTTTCTTCCAATGTTTTCATCGTCTGCTTCTGATATCCCAATCCATATTCAGATTGATGCCATAATGGCCATGAGAAAAATAGCTTGGAAGGACCCCAAAACAGTAAGTAGCAAATGTCAGGGACTTCTTAATGCACTCGAGATGGAGAATATATATTACTATATAAGGCTAGTTAACTTAAAGATTCGATGTTTGTGGATTCAATATRTTTATTTGTAAGAACAGCACAATACAATCTTAGATTCCAACTAAAGCTTTCTGCTAAGCTGTAGTAATCGCTACTAGAAAGCTTTCAGAAGCATATCAGCACAGTTTTTTTAGTCACCTGACTAGCTATACAGGAGGGAAATCTAGCTATGTGAAAGTCAGATAAATAATTTAAACTGCTTATATAGTAAGAGGGGAGTCCCATTGTTTTCCCAGATAATATCTCAACATTGTTCTGCATCTATCTCTGTTAGACCCTTTCCTTAAGGTCTCAGAAGTCACCRCTGATCTCTTATTGATCACAGAGGGTGCCAGTGTGGGAAGGGCAGGCACAGCTTCTGCCTTTCAGATGATTTAGATACCGAAAGGTGTTCTGTGCAATAGCACCCACACAGATTGTCTTTAGTGAGGTGAAGGCCCATTTGCAAAAGTGACTAGATGTCTAAAACAACTGAGTTAGTGAAGCTACTTCAAGAATGAATCTCTTTTTAACCACAGATATTTTCTTGAAATTTATTCACTGATCTTTGAATGTCAGCTCCTATAATGCAAAAAGCTACTCTGATGCCTTTTTTTTTTTTTTTTTTCCCTGCAAACTGGAGGTCTAAATCATTGCTAATCCCAGGTACTCTTTCCTCTCCATAGGTGCAGGGCTATCTCATCCAGATACTTGCAGACCCGTCTCTTCCCCCTGAAGTACGAATGATGGCTTGTGCTGTTATCTTTGAGACAAGACCTGCCCTTCCTTTAATAACAACCATAGCTAATGTGGCAATGAAGGAGAGCAACTTGCAAGTGGCCAGTTTTGTATATTCCCATATGAAGGCTTTGTCCAAGAGCAGATTACCATATATGTACAACATGTAAGTAGAGACATGAGTGAACGGGTTATTTTCTGCAAATAATAATTCTGTTATATTCTTGTTAATAAGAACTCCATATGCTGACAAACTGAATTTAACTTGTATTCTGGTAGGGTGCATCTTATACCTGAATATTATTAACTATTCTTACTTTGTTTAGATCCTCAGCTTGCAATATTGCTCTTAAGCTGCTGGCCCCCAAATTGGACAGACTAAGCTATCGATACAGCAAGGTCATTCGTGTTGGTGGTTACTTTGGTGAGTAAAAGCACTTCAGTGACTGGGAAGTTTCATTTCAGAAATAGATTCTAGCGAAATAGCARGTCCTCTGGAAAAATACTGTAAGAGATGGTGAATCACAAACAACATTATATCTAGAAAGGTCATTTAGAACAACTGTCTAGTTGCAAAACAAGACTCTTTTTAATAAGATATTTACTAAGATTAATTTCTAGATTGTTAGAATGTTCAGTTTATTCAGGCTAGAATGTTCAGTTTGTTTATTTCTGAAAAAAATGATTTCCTTTTACAAATTACTTTAGAAGCTTACGCACATCTGCTACTCACAAAAAKCCCTTTGCAACAGTAATTTGTACTTAGCATACTTCAGGTTAGCTGAATGGTGCCCCGACTTTCTGCAAAGCTGTAGAAATTCTGCATTGAAGTAACAAGTTGAGTTAAGTGTGTATGTTCAAAAGMCCATGAATAGCCATTTATTACTTTGGGTCTGGACAGTTAAAGCATCAATAATGATGTAATGGCAAAGCTGCAGAAATAAACCTTGGATGATATGAGTGGCTTGAAGAAAACATCWTCTATATATTTCTACCCTAGATAACTATAAAGTTGGCGTTGCTGGAGATGTCTTTGTTATGAACAGCCCAGGAACAATGTTCCCATCAACAATAATTTCCAAGTTGATGGCAAACTACGCAGGTTCATTGGCAGATTTGTTGGAGGTAAATATTTTACTTAAAGCAGTAATAGTGCAAATTAAAATTGAATTTGACTACCAAGTGTCTTCTCCGTGAGTATGTTTCAGACTATTCTTTGTTATGATGTTTTTGTAGTTTGGCGTGCGAGTGGAAGGTCTCACAGATGCCATAATGAAACGAAATATCCCATTCGCTGAATATCCCACATACAAGAAGATAAAGGAGCTTGGAAAAACAGTAGGTGTTCTTAGTCATGTAATGTTTGGGTTATATGAAGGAGGCCTGTGGTATCAATTAAGTTGTGTCGGTAGACAAATTACCCACTGGGTAGTCAGCTTGAGTATCCCCATATGAAAGAAGGATAAATGTGGGGTTGTAGGAGACACTATTTGTGTAATATCTTCAGTAGCTTCTGCAATTTTAACTCTGAACCTGTTTCCTCATCACCTTATAAGTGACTGCAGAAGAAGCACGAGAGGAGACAGGGAAGGCACACGTTGCAGTGCAGGATGTTTTCAGGTCCGTCAGGGTTCCTCCTTCCTCCTATCCTTTTACCTAACTTAATCTGAAATAGTGACACTGTGTTATTAAAAAAACAGCAAAGAATCCCAAGTGGCAAAGCAAAATCACAGCTTGGTCAGTGCCAGTCTTCGTTGCCTCATTGAGGAACTTTGCTTCTTTATCTATTTCCTAGCTGCTGGGATGGAAAGAGCTGCCAACAGAAACCCCCTTGATGTCAGGCTACTTGAAAATACTTGGTCAAGAGCTGGCCTATGTCAACATCAACAAGGAAGTCCTGCAACAAGCTATGAAGGTACCAAGGAGAGTTCTTTTTCTTTGCAAGATTTGACACCATTATCTAACTTAAATTCCTAAACTCTTGGGTCTCTCTTTTACTGTAGATTATGGTAGAGCCTGCTGATAGGAACACAGTGCTGAAGAGAATCGCCAGCCAAATACGCAACGGCATTGCAGGACAGTGGACACAACCAGTATGGCTTGGAGAGCTTCGGTATAGTGTCCCTAGCTGCATTGGTCTGCCCTTGGAATATGGATCCTACACTGCTGCTCTGGCACGAGCTGCAGTGAATGGTGAGTTGGAAAGTACAAGATCTCTTGTACTAGCTCTCAGCAGCAGATCAGTAGGGCAAATTAAGAGGTTAGAGAAAGAAATGGCCAAAGAAAAGATTAGAAGAAGAGCTAATTTCTGTAGTTGCTTAAAATATAGAAAGGGAGGTAGTAAAGGTGTTTGAAGAAAAAATGAACAGAGCTGGAGTAGCAGATGTGCCATTCTGTATCATATTTGAATGTACTGAAGACAGATGACATGAGATGAACAGGAGGGAGGAGGTGGCTGTGAAGTGGATGAAGAGCTGGCTGGACAGCTGAACTTGAAGTAGCCACCATTTAAGACTAATTGGCTGATTTTTATGAGTGACATTACCCTGTTGTCAGCACAGTGACAGTGCAATGTCTTTGTTAATAATCTGAAATTTGGAAGAGAAGGCATGTCTAGCAAATCTGTGGATGACACCAATTTTGTGGAAGTAGTCACTGCGTTGTCAGGCGAAGTCAGGCTGCTGTTTCTTGAGACTCTGACAAGAGGGAGAATTGGCCTGACGAAAGCATGATACAATTCAGCAAAGGCACAGGCAAAGTCCTTAGGCTGGAATGGAGTAACTCACGCAGATGCATAGGCCAGGCATTGCCTGGACAGAAAGCAACATTGCAGAAAAGGTCTTTGGATTCTCCAGGTGGACAAGCGGCTTGTGAAGCAGCAGTGTACCCTTGTGGTGATCAACACTGACTGCATCCTGGGCTGCAACAGCGGGAGAATCCACTCAGTTGCCTTTCCCAGTTGTCATCCTTTTTAGTATTGCCACATGTTCTTTTTGTTGTCTGGTTTTCTGACTGTTTCACCGATCTTCTCATTTGCTGTATTTGTTCCTGCTTTCGCTCTGACAGTTTTGAATGTTCAGAGCCCATTAATATATKTAAGACCTTCTGACTCCAGCTTTTATTCTGCATATGCTTCCTTTGCTGACAAGTGCACTGGATGCAGCAGTTTTTAGGTTCATACCAGAATGCTTTTTACCAATATGCTCCAACTTTGCTTTTTGAGTCTATTGCATATCATTTGCTGGCACATTGTTTCTACAGAAGATCTCCATGCTTTTTTTTTTTTTTTTTTTTTTTTCTTTTTTTATAAACTATCTCTTATTACTTCTACAAAATAAGCTATTTAACCAGTGCCAGCAGCTTTTTCATAATTTTTCTTCCAAATCAAAATAAAATTATTGCCCATATTTCTATAATATAATAGTGAGGTTGTCCACCATTCACTTCTGTCTTCTACAGCCAAGTGTTTCTAAACTTCTTATGCTTATTACAAAAAAATTTCAATTTGGACACACTTTTCTTATCATACTTTTATTTTCTTTTTCAGTATATTACACAGAATATGTTTTCCATCCTCATATTCAGCACTTTTCATATTTGAAGAAGAACTTGTGTACCCAAAAGTATATTTCACTTTGCAGCCAGTAATATAGACTCTTTCTGGAAAGAGTGCTTTCCTTATGCTCAAGGCTTTGTTTTCACTTTTACTATTTGAAAATATTGTTTTGTCTTTTGCAGTTGTTGGGAAGATGACTCCCCCTTTAACTGGAGATTTTAGACCTTCCCAGTTGCTTGAATCCACCATACAGGTCCAGTCTGACATAACCCCAAGGTATGGCAGGTTTCTAAGACTTTAGATACTGATGGAGAGTCTTCAATGGAAAGAGTACTCCATGTTAAGAAATATTTGTTCTTATATATGCAGTATACACAAATACATATACATACAAAAGGCATTTTTTAAGATGTGACTGCTTTGGTCTTTTTCAGCTTATATGTGCATACAGTGGCAACAATGGGTGTCAATACAGAATACTTTCAACATGCTATTGAAATTCAAGGCAAGGTCCAGGCAAGAGCTCCAATGAAGTTTGATGCCAAGATAGACATGAAATCAAAAAATATTAAGATTGAAACAACTCCATGCCGTGAGGAAACTGAGCTAGTGACTGGAAGGTACAATAATGTTACTTCAGAATACTTCCTGGTTTTCTGCTTCTGAAGTCTTGTGAAATTCACTCTTCATTGATRTCTTCCAGAGGTTTCTAGATGTGCATTATAATTTTTCATGTATATAGCATAATTTTTAGTTTAATTTAGCTTAATTTTTGTTTTATGATTGTTTTAAGCAAACGCCTCTCATGTACTGGGATTTTCTTTAAATTTACCTAGACCTTGAGAACTTTCTGTGGTATAATGAACTAATGTCCCTTATGACCTCTTCTTTGTCTTTTGTGAAGATTTACAAATATAGTTACCTATACAGTTCCAGTATTCAGGCAGCATCACTTTATGATGTGACAGTCCGCTGACATGACTCCTTTAATGCAAAGATGTAGGGTTGATAACATCCAGCATTTTTTGTGCCTATCTCCACAGCCATAAGGCTTTTGCTGTATCAAGAAATATAGGAGAACTAGGTGTAGAAAAGAGGACTTCAATTCTCCCAGCAGACGCTTCATCAAATATTGTGGAAGAACCTTTCAAGCCATCAGAGAAGACTTCCAGGGAAGCCGTCCCAATGGTAACTTTTGTTTGCTTGTAGAATAATATTCACCTGCTCCATGCTGCAGACATCTGCAGCTTCACCTATGTTATGCTCCCAATGTTATTCACATGCTTATCTCCAATGCAGCAAGGGACTGACAGCRTGCCAAGGAAACACTCCTATAGCTCTCAAGAGGATCTTTACCATGGCACAGGAAGAAAAACACATAAGCGAGACAGCTGCATCAAAGTTCATCATCTTGGTTGTCAGCTCTGCTTTTATGGAAGGTCACGAGATGCTAGCTTTATAAAAAATACCTATTTGCACAAATTAATTGGAGAAAACGAAGCTAAAATAGTTCTGATGCCAGGTACAATATTGCTATATTTCTGCTTATGTTTGTCAATGTGGTTTGAAACAGCATAACCTTCTAATGTGTGTAACTGGTGTGTAGTTCAAACAGATGCTGATCTTGACAAAATAGAGCTGGAGATTCAGGCAGGATCCAGAGCAGCTTCCAAAATAATTGATGTGGTAAACTCGGGGTCTGAGGAAGAAGATGCATCATCTCCATATGAGGACATTCAAGCTAGACTAAAGAAGATTCTAGGCATTGAAAAAGTGTTCAAGGTAAGAGACTGGACTGGGGGATATATTCCAACAAATGAAGTAAAGCTCTAAAAGAGGAGACCTGACAGCAAAGCTGGGCTGCCAGTGAAAGGCCTCTGCAGAACAGTGCCTCTCCCTGCCGGTGAAAGGCACGTCCACCAGTGCCATCCCTGCAGGGGACCTATGGGATGTGTCTAGTGGARGCTGCTCCTCCATCTGGGATGGCTTTTGGCTGACAGGAGTGGCACTTGACGAGGTCTGGTGCAGCCTCTGCAGCGAGTGGGCCAAGGAAGTTGAGTTTCCTTGCTGGGCTGCACTGAGTAGCTCGTCTGATACCCAGAGGTAATGACATGCTTTGTAAATGTAGAACCAGATGTATCCTCTCTTTTGCTCTTTTCTTTTAACTGTTTTGCAGGTTGCAAATAAAACACGACACCAGAAGAGGTCTTCTAAGAAAGAAAACGCTATGTTAACAGATCTCAGGATAGACCCTAGTGCAAAAACTCCCTCTGACTCATCCTCTGCCTCCTCTGCTGTCTCCTCTTCTTCCTCATCATCATCTTCCTCTCCTGATCATAAAAAGCGTATGGATGGAAATGCAAATGATGAAATAAAGCAAACTAGAAGCAAAGATACAAGCAGCGAGAGCAGCAGTGGCAGCAAGAGCAGCAGTGGCAGCAAGAGCAGCAGTGGCAGTCGCAGCAGTGGCAGCAGCGGCACCAGCAGCAGCAGCAGCAGCAGTAGTAGGAGCAGTAGCAGCAGTAGCAGCAGCAGCAGCAGCAGCAGCAAAAGCAGCAGTCGTAGCAGCAGCAGCAGAAGCAGCAGCAGCCAAAGTAGTAGCAGTGGTAGCAGTAGCAGGAGCAGTGGCCATGGCCACCATAGCCACGGGCATCACTCAGGACATCTGAATAGCAGCAGTAGCAGCAGCAGCAGCAGCAGCAGGTCAGCGAGTCACCACAGCCACGGGCATCACTCAGGACATGTGAAAGACGACAGCAGCAGCAGCAGCAGCAGCAGCAGCAGCAGCAGCATGAATTCCAAAACATGGGTAACTCATGTTTGTCAGTGAATGGATTGCTATTGCTAATGTTTGTGAATTTCATTCCTGATGGCAGCTGGCTTTGCACAGTAAATAAGGAAATTATAAATTGACACAGTAAATTGTAGCAATATCAAATTGCAAAATTATTCTGCAAATGCACCTGCAATCACTTGGCTTGGATGTCTGCTTTAAAACGTTTCAAAAGTTTCCCCAACTTTGATGGAACTTTTGTTATGTACATGCAACCATTTTCTGCTCATTTAATAGATTCTCTCAATAGATGTTGCATGTTTCTTAGTTTGGGGATAAGAACATTAATCTTTCTATAGAAAATATTTCAAGGCTTGCACTGTGTGTGACTGACCATACAAAGCTGTATATGAATTATAATTATGAAATCTCTACTTAATTCTCAGTTCTCAGATTTCAGTTCAATTGTGGCATTTCCTCTGAGGTGTTTATTCTTGTTTTGATTATTTCCAAAGGATGATCATGAGATTTATCGGCATCGTTTTAGATCAGCACACAGGCAAGAGGTGAGTTTTCTTTCATTAGTCAATGAAGTTTGAAATCTACCATAAATTAAATGAAAAACCTTAAAAACTCATTACTGTCTTTGAAGAAAATTACAATTATGATGATATTTAGAACACCAAATTGCTATGGAAGTTCTTCTGAGATGCCTAAAGACAGAGACCACTGTGCTCCTCTGTGTTGTGCTCATGATGCCATTTGTGACTCTGCAAAGTAGATACAAAGCTCTACCAAAGCAGCACAAGGAATTTGGGTTGAACACTTTGAAGGAAAAAAGGTTCTACCACTTGAGCTTGAGTTCTTTGGCATCTTCACACTGGAAACACTGTTGATAAACGCTGGAATAGCTGTATCGTCAAATATGGGAGGACACCTTATTTTATGTTACTTCCTTTGAGCAGAGGATTCGTACTTGGTCTCACCCAGTCAAGAGCAGTGATCAGTAGTTGTGATCAGTGCTTTGTAAGACACTCAGCCCTTCAGGTGATCAGACCCTTGCAGAAATAAAATAAATGGGATCTGGTCTTTTATAYTGAACCAGGAGACTGGTTCTATTTGTCTTTCCCTGCTCCAGGGTTTTTGCAAAGAGAGAATTCTTATCTAAGCTTGTTCCTTAACTGTCTGTTCAGAGGAGTCAGATAGGTATGAGTAAATTAGGTTTTATAGATCTGCACTGCATGTAATAAGCAGGACAAAGAATATTGTATTGCAAATCATAGAGCAGCTTAGTGCTGAAATGTGTATTTATCAACCATAAGTGCCATGATAGAAATATTCTGCAGTGCTGTCTAGGACAATTCTTTCAGGAAAGCTTTTATGTTACTGTCTGAAACATGATGTGTTTTCTTCTTGCAGTTCCCAAAAGAGAAAGGACCAGGTGACCGAGTTAGCAGCACCTACTCGTCCACGAGATCCAGTTATGGCACATCCCGAGCTGCTTCCCGGGTTAGTTGCATGATTGTTAGGAGTTTCCAAGAGTTTGGGAGAGTGGCAGGGTGGCTGTACATATGCCATATGCCACAAAACTAAAACTCGGAGCTAGAGTGCAAAATGTCAGGCAACAGGCTAAGATASAGACCAAACACCACAGTTTGGGCATGATATTGCTGAGAGAGTGAGTGATGTGTATAACTGACAGCTTAGGATGTAAGTTAAATATAACTCATTTCTTTCATATATATCAGGCAGATATATTAATAACAATGATATAACCTAAATCCTTTTACCCTTCCTATTGTTACAAATATTTCCATGGTATCAGCTGTAGCTGAGTAAATGCCACAAATTTTTGCTTGTATCAAACGTAGTGATAGACACACAAAAGCCATCTGGGGATGCACAAACACATGCACATGAGATGTGCCTGTGAGTTTGTGGGTGTGTATATTTGTGGTACATATACTGATATATATTTTTGCAGTTAAGTTGCTTATTTTTCACTTATCCATCCAGATTTTGAATGTAAAATGTTCCACAGTAATTCCTTTATAATGATATTCTTAACATACTTCCCTTTCCCTGCTCATAGCCCGAGTTTTTGGGAGACGTTAAAACACCAGTATTGGCAGTTTTTCTTCACGGCGTTCGGAGCAGTAAGAAGACAGGTGGCCTCCAGCTTGTGGTGTACGCTGATATYTACTCCATCAAGCCCAGGGTGCAGTTATTTGTGTCAAACATCACAGATTCAAGCAAGTGGAAACTCTGTGCTGATGCTTCAGTCCTCAATGCTCACAAGGCAGCGGTAAGGCTCAGGAATAGCTATATTTAGCTATATGCATTGCAGGAAGATCATGTTCCACATGTTTAAATTGGACCACTTGCTCTCCCTTTTAGGCTTATCTGAAATGGGGCCGGAATTGCCAGGACTACAAAGTTTCCACTGAGCTGGTAACTGGGCGGTTTGCTGCTCACCCTGCTGTGCAGGTGAAACTGGAGTGGCCAAAAGTTCCATCAAGTGTCAGATCAGTAGYGGAATGGTGAGACTTTACTGCTCAGTTTTACTCATTTTACATAATGGTCAACTGGGAAAATCTCCATCCACACATGATATTCTAGTGGTTAAAGCACCAGATTTTTTTTTTTTTTTTAATTCTTACTCTGTTTAAGGTACAATACTGTCTTTGGACATAAAAGCTGAGCAGGGGATCATAACCATCCTATAGTAATGTACAGAAATGCTTTAAAGTGGTCTTAACTACTGAAAACCAAGGAACAGATTTTTCCGGATTGGATGCAATCCTGTACCACATGCTCTAGGTGACCCTGTGAGTGCAGGAGGTTGGACTAGATGATCCCTAAAGGTACCTTCCAACCTTAAGGATTCTATGATTCCTTTCACTTATCAGGAACACCTGAACTTGATCAGAAACACCTGAACACTTGATCAGGAAAGGAGAGTGGACATGGTACCCTAACTTTTTACTTGGTAACAGTGGTCCTGAAGAAACTGTTCTATTTAAGCATAGGTGTGAGACAGCCTGTTTTGGATGTATGCTTGCTTCTCTGTCTCACCAGATTCTTCTGTTGTGAATGTTTAAAGGTTTTACAAGTTTGTCCCTGGGGCTGCATTTATGATGGGATTCTCAGAAAGACTGGACAAGAACCCTTCTCGGCAAGCCAGGATGATCGTGGCTCTCACTTCTTCAAGGACGTGTGATGTTGTTGTCAAGCTTCCTGATGTAAATATTTCATATTATTGTTGTTTCTCTATTTCCTCTTACCATAAAAATATATGTATTTGTTTTTTAATTACACTGGATCAATTCTAAGGAAAAAAAAATTAACTAAAAATCAGATACCATCTGATCATCATCTGAGCTGATCAAAAATCATACTTGTTTTCCACCTTTTGGTATTCCAGTCAAGAATATTCATATAGTGATCTCCTTCAAGGGAGAAGAGTTCCATGGATACTCATAATGACATGCCTTTTTCCTKTAGTTGCTTCATAAGTGTTCACTTAACCAACTTTTAAAGGAAATAATTCATTCTCTTCCAAATAATATCTCGATGATGATCCACATCATGAGAATATGCTGTGTGCACGAGCAAAAAGCTCATGACGGGCAGATGGATTTGGTTCTGAATGACATAAATTCTTTGTCAAGCAAACAATTGATTAAAATCAGTTTCCAAATAGGAGAAAAGATTGATCTGAACTGTTTACTCAGAATGCCTGGCAAATGTGTATTTTGAACATGCTTTGAATGCTTTTTCAGATGATCCTCTATGAAAAAGCCATGAGACTTCCTCTGTCACTCCCTGTTGGTCCCAGGATATCGGCTTCCGAGCTGCAGCCTCCCATCTGGAATGTCTTTGCTGAAGGCCCCTCTGCAGTACTCGAGAATTTGAAAGGTCAGGATTTAATCTGATTCAAAAGCTTGACATYCTTAGTCTCTTGAATTATTTGAGTATCTTCTGAATTTATGTGGGATTATTTGTGTCCAGTTAACAAATAATTGTTCTGTAGTAATGCTCAGATGGTTCAAATAAGAGAGAATATTGAGCAAGTAGTGCAGAAATCATTAGTATTTCAGAGAAAACAAATCTCGGTTGGAAACGCATCAACTTCCTGGCARTCATTTTGATTAGATAGAGTAGTATGTTCTTCATGCCTTTCTTAGAAATCAGGGATGCCTGGTAGCCRACACTCTCTGTAATCCTATACAAAAATATCACATAGTGATAAAAATATAGCACTAAAACTATGTAGCATTAAAAAAAAATGCCATTTATGAATTTATTTYATGGAGAGGCAAATATTAATTGACATTCTACTTAACCAGCTCGCTGCTCCGTTTCCCACAACAAGATCACAACCTTTAATGAGGTTCAGTTTAACTACACCATGCCTACAAGCTGCTACCACATCTTGGCCCAGGACTGCAGCTCAGACCTCAAGTTCTTGGTGATGATGAAGAATGTGGATGAAGCTATGAACCTCAAAGCAATCAACATCAAGCTTGGCAGGCAGTAAGTAGCTTCATAGTCAGATGCTGGGAGTAGGAGGGACTGCACCATCCCAATTTGACTTGAGAGATTCTTTGTAAAGTAAACGTTTGATTAAAATCAAATTTTGAGCAGAATTTAGATTTAAACTTTACTAACATGGTTCAACAACCCAAGGAATTTTAAAGATTTCACTTACTTGCTTTCCATATATACTGCAAATGGTGTGTACGATCGTATCCTACCTCTTAGCTGACAGGAATAGCCCCGACACATTTTAAGTACCTGAAACAAGCTTATGCTACAGCCAGTGATACTTAGTGAGTGGGACAGTCATTGGGTGAGCGTGATACAGCCCGGGTACAAACCAGACCTCTTCTCCTTCAACAGTGAAATCGATATGTATCCTGCCGACGGGCTTGTGAAACTAGCTGTAGATGGGGTCGAGAGCCCCACCACGAATGTTTCCTACGCATCTTCTCCTGGTAAGTGATGCAGCATCTACTTTGATTCCTCAAGGAGAGTTCAACAGTTTATATTCAACAAGTTTTTCTACATTTAGTTGTAAGGTTAATATGTAAGAAAATATATTTTTGTTATTTTCATGTGAGCATTTAAGATGAGTGATCAGAGAGTAAAGCTCTGGTAATGGCCAAACTAGGCAAGGTATAACTAGCATGGAGATCTCTCATTTTCATAGATTTCTGAAGTTCCCATTGGGCTTCCTAAGATAAGTTCCAAGTAGAATTTTTCAAAATTCATCCTATATATCACTATTTTTCCCGGTCAAAAGTTGATTTGTAGGTCAAAATTTGGTTAGCATTCTGAAATCTGATAGGAATAACTAGGGAGAACTGGATGTACACAGGCAAAATCAGCCTGCTTTGTTCTYTCAAAGCAGATGTTTTTTTCCTGTAAATGAGGACAGTCAGACTGTTTCATTCTTTGCTACCCAGTGAATACACAGTGCAAGTGTTTTCTGGTTTTATAGTAGTAGTCTACAAATCAGGCTAAATCTTACTCAAGTTGTTTGAGCATCTGTCAGTGCTGAGCTTTGTCCTATTTGTCATGTAGTTGGTTAGTCTTAACTGTGCTAGAAATGATTGCAGTGACAATCATGCTGTACTTTGTATTTTCTTATTACAATATAATGTAGTCAGGGCCTTGTAGTTCTGCAAAACTGTTACAGAGATGTTATAAAGATACCAGATGTTATAAAGATACCAAATTTTTTTTTTCTCTTTTTTTCTTATTCTTTTTTACCATCTTTTGTTTCCATTCTAGGTGCTTCTCTGGAGATCCACAGTGAAAAAGAAGGACTTGTACTTGTTGCCCCAGCCTATGGCATTGATAAATTGTACTTTGATGGACGCGCATTCCAGGTATAGTTCCTCCTGCACAAAAGCTTGCATCTTGAAAATTTCCAGAAGAGTCACTTGAATCTGCACAGATATGTGGCACAGTCAAGTCTGGCCTGGACCCAGAAAACAAAAAGGACAAAGAAACTACAGCYAGGATTGCAGTGTCCTTTCTGCTTCTGAACAGAAGATGTCAGAATCTGTCACAGTAATAATATCTCAGCCCTACAATACAGGTGTTTAGGAAATGGGCATGTGAGCTCAAAGAGACTGAATCAGGAGAACGTTTACAAGCAACCCCAGGCTGCTCAGGTCTTGTCCCCACTTCTTGCTGCATAATTCTTAACACCAGCAAAGATGCAGCCTCTCTTTTCAGATGAGCAAATGTTTTAAAAGCTGTACTAGAAATGATGTGCAATAGAAATACAAGAAATTAGGAAATGGCACTATATGATGAATCTCCAYCACCTAGTGTGAAAACATCAGCCAGACCAAAGCTTTAGCATCAATAAATTCACAGTAGCTTTTAAAGGCCCTAACAAGTTGAACACTGCAGTACCATGGGAGTTTGGCATCTGACTCTGAGACCTTTTTGAATTCTTAGTGAAGAAAGTAAGCAAAATTAAATGTCTGTGCATTGATTGGTATGTTATATTGGAAGACTACATAGGAAAAAAAGTGCTTCATAGGTCTTTTTGTTTTTAACTTGAATTGACTTTGATTTTTTACTCAAAGATACAAGTGGCTTTATGGATGGCAGGAAAAACATGCGGCATATGTGGAAAATATGATGCAGAATGTGAACAGGAATATCGGATGCCGAATGGATATCTAGCTAAAGATGCAGTGAGCTTTGCTCATTCTTGGATTTTGGAGGAAAAGCCTTGCGCAGGAGGTATATAAGCTCTAATAAATTTAATATGCTATTACTACATTTATTTAAAAGAAAGAATCTGTTTAGAAAATGTAAAAGCTATAAAAGTTTTGAAAAAATGTAATATTTGGTCTATCAAAACTCAGAGGATGATAAGCAATTAGTATTGTGACTGCTATTGTTACCATGCTTATTACTCAATTTTTGCATTGGTGCAACTTGCTGAGCAAAGCATTCAAGTACATGAGGAGTCCCAGGTTATTAGCGAAAATACATAGTCAGAGTAAAAATGATATATTTTAATTGTTTCAGTAAAATGGGATCTTGCAATGTACTCGGTTCTGTCTGCTGCGGTTATGATGCAACAGCGTATACCATACTGGAATATGCTCCCTCCTGGAGGAAGGAGAACTAGGACATTGCCTTTATAAAAACAAAACAACAACAAAAAGTCTTTTCCTGCCAAGAAGGACATATCATTACCTGGAGAGAACTTTCATGTGTTTAGCTGTCCATTGGCCTTAATTCATTTAGGTGCCATTGTAAAGAATACTTGGCATCAAACTTGCTTTAAATGGCTATGGAGTACATGTGCACAAGAGAGTTCACAGGACTGGCAGTGAACATACATTGTATTTCCATTAAACACACAGTGTTAGGGATTGAAGTTTATAGTCAGGGACGAACTGGGATTCATTTAGCTTCTCACAGACCTGTAGCTGCTAGTCCTGGCATCCAAAATGAGACCGATTACTGCTGGCTGCCAGCAATGACTTCTGGCTGTGCAGATCTCTGCAGCAATTTTGAGTGAGAATGATAGTGGCATTAGTGTAATTCCTCAGTGATTATTTTTATCTGTTCAGAACTTCCCACACATGCATACCACTACTAAATATTCAAAGCTACTAAATGTGATTTTGCAGCTATTGAGTGAGGCAGTTTACTTTGCAAAATGTTTATTAGAAAGCATAGCAAACTATTCCTACATATTCATCTATATATATCTACATCTAATCCAGTTGCATTTGTAATGAACTCCCTTTAACTTTGTATGTAATTAGCTTTTTTGAAAAGCTGCTGTCAGTCGGTGATATTATTTTACTTATGACCACAGTATAGGTTTTTAGTAGAGACAAATTGTTTCCAACAATGAAAACATAATTGGCAGAGAGAGTAGTCTGAGGAGAGGTAAAGATTTTGTACAAAAGAATCTAAAATATCTCCAATGGTTCCATTACAGACTGTAAACTGCAACGTTCATTTGTGAAGCTCGAGAAGACAGTTCAGCTTGCAGGTGTAGAGTCAAAATGCTTTTCTACGGAGCCCGTGCTACGCTGTGTAAAAGGATGTTCAGTCACCAAGACTACTCCAGTAACTGTTGGTTTCCACTGTCTCCCAGCTGGTAAGTCAGAAAGACAGAAATCTTCTTGTACAGGAGCTGACAAAAGACTAAACAGCTCATGCCTTGACTCAGTTATTGCACTTGAAATTTTTGAGTAAATTGACATAGCCACATGTAAACATGGACTTACTGTTGTATTGACTGAACAGCTTTCTATCTTCTATCTAATGCAGAAATCTTTCTCAAGTGGAAGACAGATGTTTTCTTCTGTTATAATTTTACTACACTTTCCGTGATAGTGGCATTTAAAAACTAAACTGCATCTTCATGGTGCTTTGAGTCAGCAGGGTAGGGGCAGAATAACAACTTTGTAATTACTTGTATTTAAATGTAATTAGTATGTGGTGGTTCACCCACATTCAGTCATGTGCAGGACCCAAAATGGGGAGTTCCATTGCATGTATTTTTCTATCTCAGTGCCTTTGGGCCTGAGCCTATTTCATTGAGCTGATTTAATTAATAGAAGGGCAGGTGTGGACAGGATTCCTGCCCACTAGTAGGCAGTCTTTTTTATAGATAGATGTAGATTACAGTCTAAGTAAATCTATAATCCAACTATAATTAAAGCTACAATATCATTTTCAAGGTGTGTTATTAATAAAATTCTACATGGAAGTAGTAGCTTTCAATGTAGAACTGACTCTTTAATTAACAGGGTTTCCTGGAGCATCCCTGCTTGATTTAGTCAGATATACATATGTATGGGGATGAGAAGCCAAACCTGGTGTAATTAATAAGTAGCGTGTGATAAATGCTGTGACTTGCAAAACTACTGTTCGCCTGTTGCTTTTTGTTCACCTTCAGATTCAACTACCACCATGACTGAAAAACAGATGAAGTTTGACCAGAAGTCAGAAGATATGCAGGACACTGTTGATGCACACATAGCTTGTTCTTGTGAGAAGGAAGACTGCAGAAGCTGAAGCTGTTCCTTGTAGCCCAGAAGAAAACACAGAAACATTTTACTCTTTTTATTGTGTGATACAAGAAGACTCATCTTCAGCAATGACAGAGATACTAAATTAGGTGCCTAAAGTCYTGTTAAATCTTCCTACGTAATTTAAAATATTAAACCTTATTATTGTAGAAACCATACTGCCCATAAGTATCTGATTTCATAATAAATCCATGCATGGAAAAAAATAATGAAGCTTCCTTATTTTGGTAGTTAGAGAAACAAGCAGGCCTTCTCCTCGCCTCATATTGTGTAGACTTCTCAAGACTGTGGCAGGCTGCCATGAAGACGTGTCCCAGGCTGATGAGTGCCTGTGTTGGGCTGCCCTGGGATGTGGGTTATGCAGTGTGGGAGAAGCTGCAGTGACAGGGGCTGCCACGTGTTTCCCCCAGTGCTTTTTTCACCCTTGTACTGGATTCCTGTGGAGTAGGAGTGCGGACTGGCYGCTCCAGTGTGATGCAGCATGTTCTGGAGCAGCAGAGCAGTCACTACATGCCAGGCCAGTGCTGTCATAGGGAGCATTCAGGTCAAGGGTGTAAATCYGAATCTCATACTTGCAACATGCCACTGGACAGGACTGCTGTAATGCAATCAAGATCATATCATATTTCTGATATGCCATATACCAAGCTCTCTCAGAAGCACAGAAGTGCAAATCAGATGTGCTCCAATCCAACCCAAGAGTGGGTTTACCTAACTGGAAGACCTGTCAGAACAAGAGTCCAAAGCAGAGCCAAAGACCATTGCTATTTCAGCAATATTCAAGCCTCCATGCCCACAATGGTCCTCTCCACAGCATCCATAGGCWGGTGGGCAATGCCTCCTGCCACCTGGCTGGGGTCTGCATGGGCATGATGGGGACATGATAACCTGCCTTGGCTGCTGGTTTCCTGGTGCGGGTTATTCCACCTGCTCTGGAGGACACTTTCTGCCTGCCCCTAARGCTGTGCTTGCAGGCTGTGTATGCACCACAAATGGGTTGCTTTTTGAGAGAACTGYCTTAGGAGACCACAGGCATAACTACTGGTGTCAGTGTGATTGTTTCCAATAGGGTAAAATAAGTTATAAGGAGTTTTGCACAAATCTTAATTGAATATCATGTTATTTATCTGCCTTGATTCATCGATGTTCTCCCAAGTAATATAGGTACATCCAACCATTTGTGTTATTAGTCTTAGATTTATTTTTATATCGAAATTTTCTACTACAAAGCAGAATGTTTTCTTACCAAGTTGTTAAAAACGTAGTCTCCAGTAAATTACTTAAGGTAAATCAATAGAAACCAGTGAAGCCAAAGTAACACTTAACTATGACCGTGTGAAGTGCAGGCATAACATCTAGTTAATTTCTGAGAACATTTGAGAAGTTTTTCTAAAAACTGTGCCCTGCTGCTTTCCCTATGGTCTTGGTACTTCAGTGATCCATGTATCTGCGYTTCATGGTTTAGCAAGGTAACACCCGTAGTGCTGTAAGTAATGCAAAAGAAAGACATAAAGGTTGGATATAGCTTGATCTATATCACGGTACCTTGCATCACCTTACAAAGTGATGTGGAAGAAACAGTAACCAGTACTTTAGCACTACCTGGTAGTAAGGGGTGAAGCTGGTGGACCTGCTGGTGGTTTGGATGTCCAATGGAGCAGCACCAGGAGCAGAGATCCCAGGCAGAACTTGAAGCCTCACATGGACCCCAGTTTTGGGTCCCATCTAAGAGCCCCCCCTATCAGAGTCACTACCTGAGTGTGGCCAGGCCTGCGGAGTTGCTTCCTGGACAGCGAGACACAGCTGGAGCATTGCTTTTGGGAGACTCTTCCAGCTTCTGTTCTCAGACACATGGGATTTAATAATCATCTAACTGATGTTCTGGAGAGGGTAGGGAGAGACAAGCTGAGCAAGAGATGTGTGGGTGAATGTCACCTAAGCACCATGGAAGCAGCACACAGGTTGGCCATGTTTTGGGCCTTCTTGCTCAAAGCAAGCACTGCCTTGCAGGAAGAGGCTGCTGGAGGCCGCCTTGTGACAGCACCGTGTGATTGTCTCAGGTCTCCAGTCCCTTCTCTGGCATTATGGAGAGAGGCTTCAATGTAGTCCAGGGCCAGACATCAGCAGAGACCTGGCAAAGTTAATAAAAGACTTCAATTCAACAGAAAAAATATGAAGGTGTGTATGGAGGTTGATGTAATGGACTCCAGAGCCTAGGAATAGCTATTGCAGAAAATCCATCAACAAGCTCTCACTGTTGGGTAAGGGCTGATGCCACTTTTGTTGTTTCTCTCTCTTTTTTTTTTTTTTTTCATGGCCTGAGATCACACAGGAAGGCCTGTAGGACAACCTGAGGTTATTCTCCAGCTCAATTTGGCTCTCTTCAACATCTGAGTTTTGTGTCAGTCTGTAGACACTGCAGCCGGTCTCAACCAGAGAGCCCCAAAGAAAGCAGCATGACTGCCCATGAACACCATGGAAAGGCTGCAGGAACTGGGTTAATGTAGAGTGCAAGAGATTGAAGGCAATGTGAAAATGTTCTTAAAGTGTTGCCAAGAAGGTTTAAAGAGGCCTGGGACAAACCTTTCCCCATATCCTTCGTGTGTGGAAATCACAGTACAATGGGCTTAAATTRCAATAAGGGACACTAAGATCTGGAATAGCCCAGCTGTAAGGTTAAGGTGAAAGTAAAGCAGAGCTGTTGTCAGAATGGATGAAGGAGCGCTGGACTATGTGGCTGCCTGGAGAAGAAGTGAAACAGGTGTGAAAACAAGTATGGGGTTTGGCACTCCCTGCAGCAGGAGTATCGATGATCCTGCCCTGTGGCAGGAGGATGGTTCAGGTGACAAGGGCACATACCCTTTCCTGCCCAAAGCTGTGGTAGTGGGGTGGGATGGGTGAGAGAGTTACAGATTCATTCTGCATAGCCATTTCAATTGCAGTAAAGTCCAAACGTGACTGTTCTGTAAATGTAGCTTTTTAAACAAATGTATGCAGTTGCACATAGATGTAGCATACTAGCTTTTGAACTTTAATTGTTGGTTACCAGTAGATATCTGCTCAAAAAGTCCCTAGCTATAMTTACCATTTGCCAAATCAAGAGACACAATGCAAAGCGGTCAGGCTCTATATAGTGAATAGCTTAGCTTTTCTATCACTTTTGGCAATTTTATTGGAGAAGACAAACAGGGACAGAATATAACACCGGTAAAAATACAGTAAAGTAACTGCTATACTTCAAAATATTTTAGAGCTAAAAAACCAAATCTTTCACCCTACAGATAAAAATCTGTGGTGTATGAACAAACTCCACAGTTAGTCAGACATGATAAAGTGCATCTGAAGTGCTTAAATATTGAAATATAATAAAAAAAATAACTAAAGAACATGAGTTAAGTCTTGAATAAGATTCACTGCCATTCAAGGGAACTGAAATGAATTTAGTCAACAAATTGCCATGCCCTTGCCATTAGTGGCCAGAGAGAAACTGTGGAAGGCCACGGGCACCAAAACTGGACCTTGCGACGAAGATGCTGCCCCATGTTGCTCAAGGGGAGGTGAATTTGGGCAAACAGGACTTTGTTCATCTTTGTAAGTAAACCTGATTGCGCCCACAAGACCCAGTAGCTTCAGCCATAGCCATCTCCTGGGAGCAACCTGCCCTAATGCCTTGGTGTGCTTCATCAGGCAATGGGGCTGGTGCTGGTCACCCCTGGCAGAAGCGGTGTGAGGCAGGTGAGGGTGCTGTGGTCTTCACAAGGGYGGTAGGAGACTGGGTTCCTTGCTGTGGTGGCACAGAGGTTGGCTGGGGCAGCACTGGGAGGGTCACCACTTAGTGTCACTGCTTGGTGTCACGCCAAGGCTGCGGAGGCTTTGCACAACCCTGMTGAGCCACTCGCTATCAGTTAGATAAGGTCGGTGCTTGTGGCCAGGTCAGGGTAACCAGGGCAAAGTGAGCGCAGGAGGACGGGAACCGCTGCTGCCTCTGACCAATGCAGGCAATAGCAATTCCCAKCACAGTTAATACTTATAATTTCATACTTTCATGCACCTCTGTTTCAGCAGCCCCCATCAGCACAGTCGGTGGTGGGAGGCAAGAAGAAAATGGGCATTTGAGGTGGGCTTGGGGCCTGTGGCCACAGGGGCAGCTGTGCCCCAGCCCCCAGCGGCGGAGCTCAGAGGCGTTGATAAAGAGTCGATAACGCAACAGAACCGGCCACCCCTGTCAGTAATTGCTCTATAAAAGGTGCTCCATCCCAGTGGTGTCCAGTCCCCGCAGCATGAAGGGGCTGGTGCTCGTGCTGCTGGTGGCCCTGGCGGGTGAGTCAGCATGTGGGCAAGGCGGAGGGCCGTGTGGCGCTGCGRGGGACACGGGGGTGTCTGGGTGGCTGCTGCGGGTGCCCATGAGCAGCCATGGCAGAAACACAGGTAGCAGGGGCCGGGCGGCGGGGGCAGCACCAAGAGCTTCTCACAGTCCCTCTCTTTCCTCCCACTCAGGCGGGCAGAAGCGGGACCTGGGTAAGTGCAGCCGCATGGCCGCGCGCCATGACRCCTTCCTCCCCGTTTGCGCGCCCCCTTGCCCTGTTTTCGCCCTGYTTCTCACACGTAAGGCAGGGCGGTGGTGGTGAGGGAGGTGTCTCCCCTGCTGTCTTGGCAGAGCCCGTGTTCCGCGCTGGCCGGAGCTACCGCTACAGCTACGAGGGGCTGGTGCTGCAGCGGCTGCGGGGCGGCGGGGCGGCCGCGGCCGGCGTGAGGCTGCGCTGCCAGCTCGAGCTYGGCCGCCTGGACGGCGCCCGCCACGTGCTGAGGGTAACGCGAATGCGCGGCGAGGAGGCCATGAAGGGGCCATCTCCGAGGGCCGTGGGGTCGTCTCCATGTGCACAAGAGGGTTTGAAATATGTCCCCACCGGGGTTTTAGTGGGGAAACGCTGCTGCACCCACCTAGGGGAATGAACCAGGGTTTGGGCATGAGCTGTCCACAGTTGCCAGCCTGCTGTGTGGGCTGAAAGGAGACCAGGTTTGGCCTGAAACCTCCCTTTTGAAGGCTCCTGGTGTCCCCATCCCTTGCTCKTGGGGTCATGTCAGGCCTCATGGCAGGTGTGGAGAGCTGCAGTGGTCATGTTTGCACCTGGGAGGGCTGTTTCTGACTTAAAAATATGATAGCGAACATCTTAAAAGACCATAAAAACAGGGGATTTAGAAGAAAACATCTAGGGAACAAGCTGTGGGAGAACACTTAACATTTATCCTAACAGTTTATTGAATTATGGCCAACTAGCACAAGGAAATTCCCCTTAACCAGTATACCACACTTTTGCAGCTGCACGTGCTCCACAGCTTAGCTAGAGTTGCTCTAACTTTAGCAATTACAGACAAAAGCCTTGAGCAGGATTTATTTTGGGAATTTAACATGACAAAATGGAGAGTGACACTTGCCGGCAGTAATTATAAATGCTTAGGATGAAATTGAGCACTTAAAACCACACCAYTCCTCTCTAAACAACAGGAGTGGGTATTTGCATGTATGAGAGATACATTGATGTTTATATGTATACAGTATGTACATATATGTGTGTGTGTGCAGATAGGCACACACTTCCCACTAGGTAGCAGCCAAGGGCTGGCCAACAAGCTCTATAGCTAAATAGGCTTTAAATTACCAAACCCATTTCCAAATGAAAGGACATCAGCCCCTGCTGGGCTGTCTCTCTTGGGTCGGCTCAAAGTTGCTTTGGTTTCTCTGCTTGAGGACATGCCGGGCAATGAGCAGCAGCCCTAACAGTTCCTGTGTGCTTAGGGAGGCAGCCTGAGTCACAGCTCGCCTGTGCTTTTTAGACTGACAGAAAATCTAACGGAAAACATGGGGAAAGCAGRGAATTCCCCTTCCATACAGATTGCTAACAGCCAGTGTTTCACTCACATGAATACTTAGTAAGCTCTACCAGATCTGCAGAACTTCTGAAGACCGTTAGCATTCTTCTGGCAGAAATCCTTTATGGAAATTGTGTTTCCAAGACCTCCTCCTAGGACCAGCATAGGGAGTTAAGGAAGTAAGCATTTCATGCACTGTTGGACAAGTGGCTTGTTTCTGGCCATGAACTGTAGTGTTCARTTTCTTTGAACATTTAATACAGTGCAATTTCTTTGTTATTGCACTGTATTAAACTAATGACAAAATTATATGATTATGTTTTCTTAATCTTTTTGGCAGATTCAATCACCAAAGCTGGACGAATACAATGGATTCTGGCCCAGGGACCCATTCACCCCGGCTTCAAAGCTCACAGAAACCATTGCTTCATGTTTCACCCAAGTCTTTACGTTTGAATATAGTGAGGGAAGAGTTGGAAATATTCATGCCGTTGAAGACTGTCCTGTCATATGTATGAACATAATGAGAGGAATTCTGAACATCATGCAGCTAACCCTGAAAAAGTCACAAAATGCATATGAAGTAAAAGAGGTTTGTTCTTTTTCCATTCTTTTATTGTTACTCTCATTTCACATTATATAAGAACATGGGAACCTACACTTCCCAGGCAGTTTTCATTTATCTGTTTATGCCTGTAATGAAGGCCTGATTCAAGTGAATAATTCATTGTGTTTAATCAATACTCACAGGATGGGATTGAAGGCATGTGTCAAACCAGATATGTTATCCAGGACAACAGCAAGAATAATTATGCCACCATATCCAAAAGCAAGGATTTATCCGACTGCCAGGATAAAGCAGTGAAGAACATAGGAATGGCTTATATCCGCCCTTGTCCTACCTGCCCCCTGGTATGACCAGCGCAAGTATAAGCTGCCACTCTCATCGTTGGCATAAGCAATTGTTGCATATACATCCACTGCACTGATGTTAATGAGGAATTTAACTCATCTGTGATTAACTGCTGACTGTTCCTATTCATAAGTGYGTTTCTCTGTACTTTTAGAAAGTCAGAAATATTAAAAGCACCATGATGTTCACCTACAAGATGAAGTATGATGACAGCGGGGCCTTGATGACATCTGCTGTGTCTGAACAGATGTATCAGATCGCTCCATTCAACGAAGCTGACGGTGTTGCTATCACAGAAGTAAGGTAGGATTAGTTACCGTGTGTGTCCGTAGGTGCAGCTGTAATTATCACAGCCAGGATGAGGTGAGTTAAACAACTGTCTTATTTCACTGCCACTGGAAGGCATTTTTTAAGTCCTAGGCTCTTTGGGGTTGGTTTCTTGGGTCAGGCGACTGATCTCTGGAACCAGGCTCTTTTGTAATGAGCAGACATGAGGTCAGTGCACGGTAGCAGCCAGTTTTCCTGAAGCCCATACTCTCTGGAGAAAACTGGGAGTGTTTTACAACAGTTTGGATCCAGGGCGTTGCATCTTCAGTCCAGAGGTGTTGGTGCTTCACCTGGGGCACCACAGGGCTGCAATCCCTACTCCCTGCTCTGGTGCTGTGTGGTGCACAGGGCTGGGCAGCAGAGCCAGCCTGCCTGGGCAGCAAAGCTGCATTTTCTGGTGAAACCCAGCCCTCCATCTGCCACAGAAAGGAAAAGCTGAGAAATTTAAACTTCAACCTACCATTAAAGTCATCCTGTCAGATATTTCTTTTATTTTAGAACTGGTAAATTTTTCCAATCTCTCAGTGACTTGGGCAAACTTTAGTGACATCTCCCACAATTCCCATATTATTTCCAGATAACTTGATTAAAAACAAACTTGAGAAGTACCTGATCCACCTGCAGTCAATGTAGCTATTCTGTTGGGCAATACTCAATGTGCTCCAACTTCAGCTTCATACACCCACCATTCACTCAGGTCAGTAAGACATTACTGATGCATTTCTTTCTTTCTCTTGAAGACAAAAATTAACTTTGGTTGACATTAAAGACACTGCCATAAGTGCACCAGATGCTCAGCTGCACAACCATGGGAATCTTCACTACCGTTTCTCAGGAGAACTACTCCAGATGCCAATCCATCTCATAAAGATCAAAAATCCAGAACTGCAGGTATTAGGTGCTCACTTTTCATACTCTTTCATTGTTTGTAAGGTTAGCAGATTATCAGAAAATAATTTTAGACATAATCTTTTTTCCCTATAGTTAGCAGAAATACTGCGAAAATTAGTTCAGTACAATGAAGAAGGATCCAGCAAAGAAGCTTCAACCAAATTCTTGCAGATGATTCAGCTTCTTCGTTCAGTGACCTTGGATCAAATTGAGTCTTTGTGGGAGCAATTTGCAAAAAAACCTCTTTACAGGTAACTGCATTTCTTTCCACCAGAATTTCTGATCAGAGAAACACTGGGCAAAGGAGATAACAMATCCTCCCCTTGTTGGCAGGCACTGGTTTCTGAGTGCAGTGTGTGCTGCTGGAGCTACTGACACATTCAAATTCCTTAAGCAAAAACTTCACCAGGAGGAGCTGAACACCTGGGAAGCAGCCGTGACACTCCCCCTTGCCTTCCATTTCGTTACACCCAATAAACAAACCCTAGAAATCGCGTCAGTGAGTACAAATTGTTCTTCATTCCTCTGCTTTCCAGTCATTCATTTTTAATGGTGAATTCCCAAGATTTTAAGTGGAAGATGAAGTGTATTTCCTTCTAACACTGTAAAATTCAGAGTATTAAGAAAAATTAGGATTGCATTTTAGAAAATGTTTCCTGATGCTTGTTACTAAAATGTTTTAATGTCTTTGTTATTGAACCTGTTAAAAAAAAACAGGATTTTTTTCAAAAATAGGAAAAATAAAATAAAATACAAATAAAATTAAATTTAAAATAAAATAAAATTTATTTAATTTAAATTAGATTTAAATTAAAACTAAATTAAATTTTAAAACATAATATCAAGCAATAATTAAAAGTACATATTTTATAATTGAAACAAAAATACTTTTCCTGTATCTAAAGGACTGATTTCACAGTTTGATTTCACTTCTAAAAATATGTAGGTAAAATCCGAAATAATTTTATCCGTTTATTTCAAGGGGATGCAAGGGAAATGTTCATTGTATTTCAACTGCAGTAAATAGGAACACTAAAGAATGCTACTTTTTTGCTTCTGCAGACTTTTCTGACATGTCCTCAAATCAAAAAGGCACCAATGCTTCGAATACTTGTTTACCTGGGATATGGTTGCATGGTAGATAAATACAGTGCTCAGGTTTCAGTTCTGCCTAATGAACTTCTTCAGGTAGGTTGTTCTCATTTCGTATTTTATAAGGAGTGAAGATTTTATAAGGAGTGAAGTTTAAAATAAGACCTCTAATTCAATTCTCACAGTGTTGGTAATTAGGTAACTAGTTGTTTAGATGCCTCGTTCTGGCTGTGATTCCCTGCAAAATTACAAAGACAGAATGAAATGGCAAGCTGATATTTTCTAAAAAATGTGGTCTTAGTTGTTCAGAATTTCAAAGGTAAAAGCCCTTGGGGATAGTGAGTTCTGTACACAAGCTGAAACAAAACTTATGTAACATTTAGGATTAAAGCCAGATAATTAGGATTCTTCTTCTTCTTGCTATTATAGATTATACCCAAAATCCATTACAGAGGCACTGAAGTGTGAATACAAGACAAGCTCTAGGTATATTATAGGTGAGAACTTCCAAAGCTTCATAGTTGCCTATCACCATCAGAAATGTTGGCATCATTGTCCTTGGATTATGACACTCCAGTCCCTTAGTCAGGAGGACCACAGCGCTGGGGTGGCCTGCTGGCATTAGAACAGGATTTAAATCTTCCCCAAAAGAATGAAATAAAGACAGTCCACCAGACAAGTAATTTGTCTTGTCAGAATGGCAAAGACCAAAGATAAATCAGATGTTAACATAAGAAGTGACTGTGCAGCTGAGGCAGGTCCTGCAGGCACTGTGGACCTGAGCCTGCCTGTAGGCTGGCAGGGTTCATGGAGTGGCACCAGGGCCGCCAAAGTAGCCCTTTGGGAACACCTGCATCAATCCAGTGCCACTCTCAAACTTGCAATAGATTCCCTTGGACAGGCATCTAACCAGGAACATCTCCAAAGTTTGGGCTCAGGTACAATGTAAAATCAGTTATAACACCATGTAAGGAAAAAAAAATTGCTCACATATTTCACATTTGGCATCTTGGTAATGATGGKGAGATTTTTCTTTGGAGAAAACTAGGAGAGCTTCCCTCAAGGTTTTGCAGCAGTTGTAATGTTTGCTATGGCAATGTGCTCTTCTATGTGGCATCATCAGATCATGATGTGATTAGCACATTTTCTGCTCTGTTTTCAGCCTCTCCATGATCTTGCTACTGAAGCTGTCAGCAAGGGCCATGTTGGAGATATGTCCTTGGCTCTGAAGGCCATGGGCAATGCAGGAATGCCAGCCAGTATCAAACGCATCCTGAAGTTTTTGCCAACCTTTTCGCCTGCTGCTGCTGCACTACCSAACAGAATTCATGCTGATGCTGTGTTGGCCTTGAGAAAAACTGCTAGAAAAGACCCTGCAAAAGTAATTGAAATTATTATTTAGGCAAATGTGTTAGCAGATGTGATTTGGCTTAGCTTTGTGATACAGTGTTAATAAAAACACGAGGTAATGTTAGTGACGTATTAGCAACCTGGGACAGATTCCTCTCTTGGTGACTTTCTTCTTGCCCAACTRCAAATTTCCTGACAACTCCTGTTTGCTCTAGTTGCTGCCATGTTGTGCCTGTGACTAATGGCTGTTTCTTCTGAGTCTGCTCACCGGACATCAAACAATATCTTTGTTTTCAGTGACAGCTCCTATGCTCACGTCTCAGCACAGTGTTTTGTTCTCCAGTCAGTGCAGATCAAAAATTGGCTGATTAGGAAGAATTTCTTACTAGGAAACTACAAGGCACTCACAGTCTCTATCTTCTTTCTCTAGGTAAGAGAAATCTTGCTCCAGACCTTTATGGACAGTTCACTTGCTCCTAATGTCCGAATGGTGGCCTGTGTTGTCCTCTTTGAGACTAAGCCTGCTCTTCCAACTGTCACAGCAATAGCCAGCTCGCTAGTAAAGGAGCCCAGCTTACAGGTAGCCAGTTTCACATATTCACACATGAAGGCTTTGGCAGTAGGCAGGATCCCACAGCTCTACAATTTGTAAGTAGAGGAAAACATAAAGTTTTCAGTAGCAAATATTTTTCTTATAATTTTTGAAGAACTTGGTTACAGTCGATTACCTTCATAWGCTTTTAACTCTGTATTACTTAGATCTGCTGCTTGCAACATCGCCATCAAGCTACTAAGCCCCAGACTTGATAGACTCAGCTATCGTTACAGCAAAGTCATTCATGTCGGCGGTTATTCCAGTAAGTACCAGACACCCTGTTGAGCTTCTTTGGCTCAGGGAGAAATGCCTCTACCATATKCCACAATTTTCATCCAAAATCCTACCATGGATGGTGGGTTTAGTGCATTATTGAAATGGAAAAAGCACAAGAATCTCCTAAAATGTAGAATGCCTTATACTCATTCAACTGTTTTTTGGTATCTACTGACGAAAAAGATATCTGATCTTTAATCACTGTGGTTAGATAGACTCTGCCCTAGAAATAAGCTCTCCTTTTGGGGTTGCAAATTTGAAGACCTGTGGGGCTGAATACTGGCAGAATGAAATGTCATCTAATACAGCATGAACATAATGTTAAACATAAACTAGTTATCTGGAAGACCCTAATGCAAATCTCTGCTGCATTTTATTCCTGTTATAGATGAATATAAAGTTGGTGCAATTTGGAGGGCCTATCTAATGAATAATCCTGGCACAATGTTTCCATCTGATATAGTCACAAAAGTAAGAGGATATTATGCAAATACCGCAATGGATATTGTTGAGGTAAATATTTCATTAAAATAATCATTCCAACTACCAATAATATCACTTATTAAGCCATTTGGACTGTGATGTAGCATTTAACTACATCCTTTGCAGTGAGGATTGGCGTGGGAGGGAAATATGAGTCTTGGTTATGATTTCACATGTATTTGGGCATCTTGACACATAGATTCAGTTACAAACATGATAGGCATAGATATGAAAATCTAGGAGAGCAAAGGAAAGATTAGGAAGCTGAACTTTCTTCTACTTACCTCAAGTCACGTGACATTTTGGACATTTTACATAAGTGCAGGTGATGAGCAGCTGCAATTACCCTTTGACGAGCAGTGCAGCCAGTGTAGCGTGCAGCTCCRTGTAACAGCATGCAGCTCAGCTCCTTGCACAGGCTTTATAGCCTCAAATTATCCCCACTGACTAATTCAAAGCCACCTCAGCACATCCTCACCTCTGCAGTCATAGCCCACAGTCATCTAACAAGTAGACATACCCTTATAAGCCTAATGGTTTCATAAAGTGTGTGTTTAGAGCAGCCTCTGTAAAAGTATTATTACATGCAAATATGTACTCCTCCATATTCCTGCTGAGCTTTCTTGTGCTTGCTCTGTGATGTCTAACTCTGTTTCCTACAGGTGGCTCTCCGCTCACAAGGTCTAAGCAACATTATTAGGAGACGTAATATTCCCTTTACTGAATATGACACATACAAGACTSTGAAAGAACTTGGTAAAACGGTATGTATACACTCATCTTTCTGATGTGTTAAAAATATGCCATTTACCAGTGCTGGTGTGACATTACCTACCSACCTAGCATCCCTTTGATATTTCGGTGGGAAAGGAATGGGTCACAGGAAGATGTGCTCACATTGCACTTACAGTATTCAGTGGATTCCAGCTTTGCATTCAGCCTGTCAGCACACCACACATGTATGCCCTCAGTGTATAGTACACAGGATGATGATGGTAGCAAAAATTAATGTTTTGTATTAAAATGCAGTAAAGATTGCTCTTCTCTTTTACAGAGAGGATTGGATAAGAGTTTTGCTCATGAGCTTTTTTTGTGGGTGTCTTCTACTACTTACTGCTGTAAAAAATTATCCTTCTCAGGGATAAGTCCCATAACTGACTGAGGTCAGTTTTGCACCATAAGGAAGGCTGKTTTAGTTCAGAGCTATGGGAAGTCTATTGATTTTCTGACTAAAGAACCATATAACATCCTTAGATTTGACCCAGTCTCTGTTAATGCAACATTATATTTTGAATAACATCTGCTGCTTCTCTTTCTCCTCTCTCTCTCTCTGTTTAATACTACAGCTTCTGGGGTGGAAAGAATTGCCTCCTGAAGACCCTCTGGTGTCTGCTTATGTGAAAATATTTGGCCAGGAGATTGCCTTTGTTGATGTTGGTAACGATGCCATTCAGCAGGCTGTGACGGTACTGCCAACCACTACTGTCTTTTTGGTGTGAGGTGCTGGATAATTCCACTGCTCTTTCTTTAATCCCGCCTATCTACCTACCCTATTTCTCTGCTTTCAGAGCCTAACCAGATCATCAAGCTGGCAGGCAGCGGTGACCAGAGCGATGCAGGCGGCCCGCCAAGGGCTCTTGGGGGAGCTGATGCTGCCGGGGCTGGTGGCCGAGCTGCGGCACGTGGTCCCCACAGCCATGGGCCTCCCGCTCGAGTTCGGCCTCCACGCCATCACCCTGGTCCGGGCCGTGGGCGCCGGTGAGCCGCGGAGCCCCGTCCTGCGGGTCTGCCTGGGAATAACCGGGGCCCAGTCCTCCTGCAGGAACTGACCCCCCAAAATCCTGACACATGCTCTTGTCATGTGGAATTCTGACTGTTCAGCTACATCCGAAGGGCTTGAGAAGTAATGAGTGTGTTTTGCCTGGAATGTATTTGTCCAACTCTGTTTTGGAGTAAGAAGTAATTGTGTAGAATATTTCAAAATGTAAAAGCGCTACTCAGGTGCTAACTACTATGTTTACTGGAAAAAAAGTCATCACCAGAAGTATTTACTAGTTTGTTCATATAAATCCTTTCTGTCTCTTGCAGTTAATATGCAGATGTCACCACCATTACCTGGCAATTTTAAACTATCTCAGTTGCTGGACACCAATATGGAACTTCATGCTGATATCAAGCCAAAGTAATGTCCATATACATTTCACATGCACACACATGCAGGCATACACATTCATTTATATTTGAAACAGATATGTGATAGTATGTTGTTACATAAAAGCTTTATTTGTCACGAATTTGGAGTGGCTGCGTTACCCCAGAGTAGTGAAGTTGGGTGTGAGCAACACAGCCATGTGCTCCTCACGGTCTTGTGAGCCTGGCAGTGGGCACTGCACCCTGCTTCAGTGCTCTGCCACTGCCCAAAAGACTCCCATTCATACTGTGTAGTGACTGCAGGTCCCGAGCTGTGAAGATGCATTTGCTTACACACAACAATGTTTTACAAGTTTGGGGTCATCTTGTCATGACAAGAGGGGAATTTCAGAGAGAAAAAGAAGATGCGTCTCTGGATTAGCAAAAACAATGGCATTAATTATAGTAACAATATTAATAATAATAACAAACTAGACACAGTCTAAAACTGGTAAGATTCTGGTTTTAGGTGGTCCCTAGGCAATGTTTCAGTGATAAAACAGTAAAAATGTTTGCTTTTTTCAGAGACACTTCAACTTGTTTTTGTCTCTTTACATGATTTTTCTCCTTTTCTATTCATAATGGTTCTTAAGATAAAAAGAACAGTATTAAAATGTAATTTTGCATTTCAAAGTGAGATATGTGTATGCTAATATGCAATTATTTCCACTCTTTCAGAATATATGTTCATGTGATTGCAACGATGGGGATTAATACACAGTACGTTCAGAGTGGTCTTGAATTTCAAGCAGAGTTCAGTGCCAACGCTACAATGAAATTTGATGCCAGGATAAACATGAAAGAAAAAAGCTTTAAGCTTGAAACCGCTCCCTGCCGTCAGGAGGTTGAGCTAGCAGCTGCAAGGTACAGAAGGATTTGTTGCATTTTGCATATTATATATAACTAATTGTCAATTTCTTGTTATAAAATCACAAACACACAACTTTTGTTAGGCCCTGCTATACTTTGACAGCCACATAATGATGCTTTCTTTTGTGCGTCAGCAAACAAATATATGTTTTTAATATAACTGAACCAATAAGTTCTGTGTGTCTGTAGTCATGAGCAGGACATGGAATCAGTTGATGTGGTAGTACTGCTTCGGTGGCTTCATGCTGATTAAAATACGGAAAAGCACAACACTGCCCATATCTATTCAGAATTAAAGACAGGATGGGTGAGCAAAATCAGATGTTACTCATATGCCTTTTTTTTAACCACTTATTGTCTCAACAGGAGTGAAGTTTATGCTATTTCAAGAAACATAGAAGTAAATTCAGAGAAGAGATCCCATATTCTCCCTGAAGGAGAAGTACCAAGTATCCCTGAGCAGCCATTTCAGTCAGCAGAAACGTYCTCCAGAGAGCAAAGTGAGAAGGTAAAGATGCCTTTGGGTAACGCTATGGCAAGTGGTTAGAGAACAGACAACTTCTCACAGAGGCTGAGCATCTATCACCCAGCAACTGGCTAAAAAATCACAAATATTGAACTTTGAGATTCAATAGGCACCTGGCGTATCCAAAAGCAGACTTAATATAAGTCCCTGTGGGTTCAAGCCACTTAATTCAAGGTCTGCTCACACATGTCATCCTATGTAAAGATGATTGCTATGATAGTGTTTCTTAATGTTATTTTTATTCCCAAATCTGGAGGGAAAGACCCTTTCTCTTACGTGATCTTTAGCTGCCAAGGCCTGCTGCTAACATGGGAGAAATATACATGAAATGAATAGGAGCAGGGCTAGTAGCTGAAAACTAGTTCAGAGAAGTAGTTCCTCCACAGAGCCCCTTCAGATTCTTGATGGGAAGTTTGTGAAAAACTTCTATGGGAAAGGCTGGGATGGAGAATTGTCCTCTTCTGCAAAGCAAAACCCCACTGCTTCCAGTGCTTGGGTCTCTATTTTTAAGGCAATGCTTCCTTATGTGGACAAAACTGTTCTTATTCTTGTCATTCTTACTTAATAGCAATTAAGGAAAGAATTTAGGAACAGCACCTTTTCTGGGGCAAAGTACTTTATTTACTTTTCTTTTTTGTTTGTTTGCAGCAAAAAAATAATCCTAGTGTGATATCAAAGGGATACCAGCAAAGCTCAGAAGAGAAACATCACCACAGTGCAGGAGGAAGATCTTACACACACACCTTCTGTTGCAAACTASATAGTTTGGGATGTTATGCTTGTCTCAGCCAAAAATCACGAGATTCTGCTTTCCTAAGAAACACGTACCTGCACAAATTCATTGGAGAACATGAAACCAAAATATTTTTGAAACCAGGTAATGAAAGCAAGCTTGTCTGTTAACAATTTCTATGAATGCTGCTCAAGAGCTGTAGCTCTGGAAAATAAGTATGTTGCTTCTAGTTATTGCAGATGCTGATATTGAAAAAATACAGCTGGAGATTCAGGCAGGATCCAGGGCAGCTTCCAAAATAATTGACGAGGTCAACTCGGAATCTGTGGAAAAGGATACACCGTCTCTATATGAGGACATTAAAGCTAAACTGAAGAAGATCCTAGGCATTGAAAAGGTGTTCAAGGTAAGAGCCTGGAGAAGGGGGAAAATTCCAACAAATGGAGCTTCAAGGGCTTGAAGTCCAGTGTGGGCACTGGCATGGGACAGGGCTGGTCAGAAACCTGACAGTGCCAGGCATGTTGGCCTGTGCCAGGCCTGGAGGGGACCCATGAGATGCCAAGTCCTCAGCACTGGGGTGGCTTTTGGCTGGCAGAAATGGCCTTAGCGAGTTCTGGTGCACCTTCTGCAGTGAATGAGGCAATGAAGGTGTGTTTCCCTGCGAGGCTGCACTGAACAGCTTGTCTGGCATCCAGAGAGATTTTACAAGGCAAGCTATAACTAACTCCATTACTCTTTGAACTGCTTTTGCAGGTTGCAAACAAAACATGGTCCCATAAGAAACAGATTCCTAAAAACAAGACTGCGGTTACAGACCCCCGGGCAGCTCCTTTCTCCAGTTCATCCTCTTCTTCCACTGCTTCCTCTCCTGATGGCAAAGAGCCCAGAAACGACCAGGAGAAAGATGCAGTAAAGCAATCTGGAAGGAAACGTGGCAGCAGCAGCAGTAGTAGCAGCAGCAAGAGCACCTCCAGCTCTGCTAACAGTGAAATCTGCAGCAGCAGCAGCAGCAGCAACAGCAGCAGCAGCAGCAGCAGCAGAGAGCATCACTCTGGAAACAAGCACTGCAGTGGGGATAGTGAATATTCCAACCCACAGGTAACTCACCCAGGCAAGACTTTAGTTAATATATTTCTTGGAGTGAATGTTTTTGTATGAGAGATCTGGAAAGTGTGCTTTAATAATTAACAACACAGTAGTTCTAGAACCCCAGACAGTTAGTACGTCCCTCCTGGTTATGATAAGACCCAAAAAGAAGTGTATATGTCCCCATGGGTCATGGACCAGAGAAAGAGGAAACAGACTGCGAGGTGTAGTTGTTTGTTGCAGCATGGATGAAGCACAGAGCTGTTTTCCATCCTTAACCTCCCTGATTCCCCAAAGCATTTCAGCTTGTGTCACATTTTAGAAAGTTTCATTTTAAAATGTTTTTAAGATAGGAATTTTTGTTTGCTCTGTTTTTGATACTGAAATTTTTAATGGAGTTGTCAAAAGTTAGTTGTTTGTCTTCTCTTGAAATTCTTCTGAACTGTTTATTTTCACAGGCCAATCTGGATATTTACCACTTTCAATTCAAGCCAATCGATGAACAGGTACATTTTCTGCTTATTGTGAGCAGGATCTACAACTGCCTTCAGTAGCTTTACTGCAATTAGAATTTAGATGGCTGAAAATAAAGCGTGAAAAATACTTCTACTGCAAATTCCAATGGTAAAGGCTTGCTTCAGGGTGATTTTTCTGTTATTTTAGGATTCAGAAAGGAAAGTCCTGAACACCAGCAGCAGTAGCAGCAGCAGCTCCTCCTCATCTTCATCTTCATCTTCATCTTCATCTTCATCTTCTAGTGATGAAGGCAACTCTACAGCCGTATCTAAGGTGAGTGTCGTCTTAATTTAAAGGAAGTAAAAACATTTACTTTGGATTTCCAGTTAATATAATCATACAATAACAGAAAATAAATGTGTTTATTTAGCATATTATCTATATTATATATAAAGAAAATTAAAAGCCCCTATGTAGAATTATTTTGCTCTTTTTACAAAGTTGTTATTGGACAACTTGAGAATTTTTTAGAATATGCATAATGCAGAATATATGTTTTAATGAAATTGGAATTTACTGCTGTACCCCCTGGAATATGTATTGCTCAGTAAACACCAGTACCTCAGTACCTCAATAAAACATGTACTTTGGTAAAACAGGTACCCTCTCTGCACTACACTAGTAGCTCCCATGTTATGTTTAAACAGTTTGCAGAAAAAAAAAMCCTTGTTCTACCATTTCCCATTTTCTTGTGTCTTGAATTCAACTCCCTCCTCAACCTTTTGCCACACTTATTGCTTCCCTGAGCTCCTCACAGAGCCAAGTTCCTGCCATGTGCACCTCCTTCCCTGCCTCTTCTCCCAGTTCCATCTAAATGGAACTTCTCCCTTCACCAGCTTCATGTTACCTAAATTACTTCTTTCAGTCTCCCATCACTTGGACACGGAAAGAGTTTTAAGTACTTAAAAATGACTTTTTAAACTAAACTTTCCCATATATATATATATTTTTTTCAATTTAAGAGTTCAATATAGCCATTTTAATGCTTTGTTTACTTACATGGCCTCTATTTTCTCTCTTCTGACTTAAGCCTAAATTCTTGGGTGATGTTAAGCCACCAGTATTGGCTGTAGTTCTTCGTGCCATCCAAAAAAATAAGCACCAGGAAGGATTCAAGCTTGTGCTCTACACAGATATACAGCCCACGAGCGCTAGGATACAGATGTTTGTTTCGAGCATCGCTGAATCAAGCAGATGGAAACTCTGTGCTGATGCCTCAACAATAAATCTCCACAAAGCACTGGTAAGATTCCAATTCAATCATCTCAAATTTAAATGAAAAATAATGGTCTTACTATGTTTTATAAGTATATATATATATTTTTTTCTTCTAATAGGGGTCTCTAAAATGGGGTCAAGATTGCCAGGAATATAAGATTACCACTAAGATTGCAACAGGGCAGTTTGCTTCTAATCCAGCTGTGCAGATGAAGCTCGAGTGGCCCAAAGTACCCTCAAGAATCCGGAGAGCTGCAAGATGGTGAGATTTTGCTTTAGTTTTTGATAACTCCATGTATGTCAATGCTCTACATAATTAGAGATTCAATTCTGCAATTTCTAGCAGAAAAAAAAAAATCTTCAATCAATATGATTTTATAAGATCACATTACATAGCTGTCTTCTTGTATATTCATTCTCTCAAACCTTAGTGCATTTCTTGCATTAAAACCTTTTGAAACAAAAGGGGATGTGGGGCTTCACATAATCTATTGATTATTAAATCTTTTTATTTTTAAATATTTCATTTTAAATCTTTATTTTTAAAAATATTAACCCTTTTAATTCAAATTGCCAAATTAAGAACCTGGTCTCCTGATGCCCCTCAGAGCAGAATCCTAGCCCTGGTTCTTTGAGGGAGCCAGTCTCACTCATAGGGGAACCTTAAATGAGTGATTTCTTGACCTAGGCACCTTACACCCAGTTTCTGAAGAAAATGATATAAATACTTCCCATAAGATAAACTGCACACTAAATAGCAACTGTTATGTGACACTGAGTGTAAGAAAACTACTCATTCACTGTATTCAGACATATATTTCCTCCCAAGGATATCACTGTTATAGATTGCTATCCAAGTCCAAACTTCTTCTTTTAATAATGTTTCCAAATACAGACACATACAAAAGCTTCAGTTCCATAAATGTTCAGGCAACATAAAAAGCTCCAGCTACATAAATGTGCAGGCAAAATTCACATATATGTTAAAAAGCCAAAGGTGACTTGGTTAACAAATTTCTACTGAAAAGGACAATTCTTATATGAGCTCTTATCTGCCAATTCAATACCCTGGGGCAAAGCCACAGACCTCATCCTTGCTCTGCCTTGAGACTGGGTCTTTTTAAAGGTTTATTTTCTGTATTTCTTTATTCGAGTCCTAACCTTGTAAGGTAGCCTGATGATACAAACCTGTCTACTCATCAACATTCTTGGTAAGCAAGGATCCTTACTGAAAGATACTAATTAACCTAATTTTTAGTTATTTGAATATATTTGTTGCCTAATTTTCAGCATTGAATGTTTTTAAAACAGGTTGGCTGTTCTTTCCTCCCCATGGCACGCTGCCATCCGGCCTCTTCATGACTGTTTTACTCATTAACACTGTTGTGATCTGCCTGTCCCTCTTCCCATACGCGTGAGACCAATCCCTCCTGCATGACACACCTCACAGAATGCACGTTGCTTGACGAGGGTTTCCAGTCTGAACAATTAGTAAATACAGTTTTCATATATGGATTGGTTAAATCACTCGCATCTTTTTCCAGGTTCTACACATTTGTTCCAGGAGCGGCCTATTTGCTTGGGTACTCCCAAAGGCAACAGCACAATCCCTCTCGACAGGCGACCATGGTTGTGGCTCTGACGTCTCCAAGAACCTGTGATGTGGTTCTCAAGATGCCTGAGGTAACTATTTCCATAATCTTTTATCCTGAGCCTGTAGTACTTACAAAATCAAAGGTTAACAGGCTTGGTTTAACACGTTTATTTTTTAAAATAATTTATTAAACTGCAAAGAAGCTCCCTCAGTGGCATCACAGTCACATCCTTGGATCTGTTATGAAAGTATCTTGTAACATGTATTTTTTCCCAAGTAGCATGCAAACATAACAAATAAGAACACTGTTACAACATAGCAATCTCAATTGATAATACATCAACAATAATTGATTAAAATACCACTCCTCCCCTAATTTTCAGGAAAACATTAGGTTTTGTTGTATCTTGGAAAGCAATAAAACCAATTTCTAGAGAGCCATGGTGGCCAAAAAGGTAGCTCCCAAAGGATAGGTAAGGGAAGGCTGTGCCTCTTGGGTTAGCAAACTGCTTGCACTGTAAGTCTGATGTGCAGCTTCTCAAAAAGCTGTGCTGGTAAAAATGAAATTTCATTTTAAATACTGTTATTCTATAGATATAAAACTGTAGAGCTCCTTTGTGCCGTAGATAGAGAACCTAATTTACATTTAGCTCTGATCTAGATCTCAGTTCTAACTTAGATTTCTGTCAGTGCATAGCACAGATCTCTTTGACTGTTAGAGGAAGAATGTGTGGAGGAAAACACCACACGATATTTTCCCTCTACAGTAATGTTTGTTTTCTGATTGATTTGCAGGTCACAATTTTTGACAGAGTCATAAGGCTTCCCCTACCATTCCCTTCAAGACCAAGTACACCCGCTTCAACACTGCTGTCCTCTGACTCAAACTTCTTTTCCAAAGCAGCATTTTCAGTCATTGAAAAATTTAAAGGTGAGCAATTAACTATACACCCAGGCATTTACTTTGTAGACATTGTAAATACGATTCTGACTTTTAGACAAAAAAACTTGGAATTATTTTGCGTTCACTTAAAAAATCAGTTGGACTTCAGATAGAAATAAACATGTTTGCAATGAAAATCTGTGAGGTTACAAAATGTAAAGAAAAGAAAAAATATATTGAAGATGAAATATTCAAATTGGAATTTCACTGACATTTATTGAAGACTTTAGTGATTGAGAAGTACATGATTCCCAGTGCATCTCTTTGAACTTCATTGTGAACATTGTTCCTGGGGAAAATATGCTATAAAATTTGTAACATGGATTTTCAAGTGATTTCAGTTTTGGGGTGCTCTATTTATTTGACTACTGCTGTTACACAGAAGCCAAAACAACTTCAAAAAAAACTACCCATTAATTTCACCTCCTGTACTTTATTTTGAAGAGATTATCATTTTGTTAATGCTCTATTAGAGATAACATGTTGCTTAGGTTGAATTTTAAATGAAAAAGCTTTGCATAATTGTGAGGTAAGAGACCATATTTGGACTCATAAATTTATCTCACACGATGATTGAAATGTGAACTGCTTGTTTTGTTGTTTGTGGACTGGCAAACTTTTGCTTCTGTATTGCTACAAACTGAATAATTCAATCTGAAGGAATTATTTAATTTTTATGTGGGAATAAGTAAGGCCAGAACACAGTCAAAAATGTAAAGTAGAATAATTGCTTATATGAAGTATAAAAAGTTTATTTGAATCAACTTTTTTCAGCTCGTTGTTCAGTTTCCCAAAATATGATCACAACCTTCAATGGAGTTGAATTTAACTATTCAATGCCTGCAAACTGCTACCATGTCTTGGCTCAGGACTGTAGTCCAGAACTGAAATTCCTGGTCATGATGAAGAGATCTGAAGAGTCTGCTGACCTTACAGCAATAAAAGTCAGACTTGCCAATCAGTAAGTAATGGCAAAAGTGTTATAAAGAGATGCCAAGCTGATGATGCTACAAATGTGAAGCCAGACTGCTTGAACAGATTGTTACCAGGGTGAGACTCATGCAAAACTACTGACGTCAATGGAAAGAGCTGTAGCAATGGCACTGGGGTTTGGGCCTTTGTTTGTCTTTGAAGAGTTCTTGGTTTTTGAAATAACATTCGAGGTTCGTAGGAACCTGAAGTCTTTACCACTTGAAAGTCTTGATTAATTTCTTAGCATTTAATCATTTCATTTTAGCTCTTAGTAATTAGGTAGACACATAAACTGTAAAGCCAAAAGGGACTGTTTTAATAAATCAGTATGAACGCCTATACTAAACTAGCAATTAGAATAATTAGCACCTGCACAGCAATCTCAGCAGAGGAGGTGAGAAGCGGACATAGCTAAAAAGGGAATTATTTCTCACACATTAGAGACACTCTCTTAGGTTATCCCTTGGTTGGTGCCTAACGTGCATAATGTTCTACTTGAAATTAATTTAAGACACACATTGTTTCATCTTGGAGCAATCACCTCTGCAATCATAGACTCTGCTATACACTATATAGTATGAACTACCATAAAGTGTATGGGACTGTGATTCTGTGATTATGCATAGCAGAATCATTGCAGGGAGTATTCCTCAAAGGGAATAAATAGGCTTTGATCTGCACATTTTCATTATAAGTAATTATTTAATTTTTTGAAATATTCTGTGCCTAACTGTGACATGTTAGAGAACAGAGAGAAATGTGCTCCCTGGACCTGTTCTGTGGCTAAGCAGAAGGATGTTCTTTTTTATAAAAAGTACCTTTTGTGATAAAGAGATTCCTTGTCACTCTATCATTTATGACCATTTCATACAACTGTACTGATTTTTTTTATGTGCTTGTGCTTCATGTTTCTTTTTAAAAGCAAATAATACTGCTCTCAAGAACATTTGCAAAATATCCAGGCTGTAAGAGACCGTAACTACAGTAGGGAATCCAGTTTTCCTTTGAAAYGTAAAGCACTCCCAGCTTATGTGAACATAAGAGCAGTTATAGTGTTTTGTACCAAGGATTTTTTTTCTGCTCTGCTACCTCCTCTCCCCAGCTGTGGCCACCAGCCAACACTGGGAGATGAGGAGAGACAGGGCAGTGTGTTTTATGAGCATGATACTCCATACGCTTTCCTGGGCTCCCTCTAGCTTCATCCCAAAGCGTGGCAGGAATTCAGGAACATGTTGTAGGATCAGTTTTACTAGGATTAGAAATTGTGAGTTAAGTAGCATGAAGGAGAAGCACTTGTTTATACTCATGCCCTTTCATTACAGTGAGATTGACATGTATGTTTCCAATGGACTCCTCCAGCTGAAGATAAATGGTGTTCAGACTCCAACAAATGTTCCATACACATCTAATTCTGGTAGGAAAACAACTTTATTTTTCATTTACTCTTTTCTGCTTTCTCGAAGAAGGAAAGAGTGTGATCCTGCAACACTCCCTCAAGTCAAAGTTCACCCTAATAGGAGAAAATTAGGTGATGTGAACATGGCTTCATGCTGGCTGCTATGGAGGGTGACAGGAAAGATAAGCAAAGGAAGAGAACATCAGTAGCAAAGAAAGAGATCATCATTTTCATTCATGCTCWGGTGTCTTGGGCTGTCCATGGAGTCTGTCACAGAACAGGCAACCAAGGCAACCAAGAACAAGGCAACTCCAGCCACTGCTACCTACTCACTGAGCTTCTGCTCCCCGCAGCATCGGATGGGGAATACATCTTCTCATTTTCCCCAGCTCTTTCAACATCTATCAGAGCCTACATTACTTTCCCATAAAATTATGAGGAGGTTCAGGTCAAACTTGGAATAGTTATTTCTTTTTCAAATAAATCTCATTCTGCTTTTCTGTTGCAGATGCAAGCCTGTTCATCAGCAGTGTAAAGAAAGGCTTGTCATTAAAAGCCCCTGACTATGGCATAGATCAACTATATTACGATGGACACACACTAGAGGTATTTCGAACCTATTTTTGATGCTTTTATTTTCACAACACAATGAACAATTAAATGCATCTTTCCTTTATTTTCACAAAGATTCAGGTTGCTTTCTGGATGGCTGGAAAAACATGTGGTATTTGTGGAAAGTATGATGGGGAGAAGGAAAGGGAATATCAAATGCCTAGTGGATATTTAGCTAAAGATCCAGTGAGTTTTGCTCAGTCTTGGATTGTCTCAGAAGACCCTTGTGCTGGAGGTACTAACATTTATTAATATCATTGCCTTTGATTGCATGACTCACATGAACAGCCATGAGATTGATATAGTCTCTTTATATTGACTGTAGCATAATTACCTATTTTTCACCACCTTTGTGAATAGTGTCCACTGGATAAAAAGTCTTTTTTTTTTTCCTGAAGCTGTTGGTTGACTGCAAAATGTGTTTCTGTTGCATTCTTATGTCAGTTTATTTTGCATTATGCCACTACCTGAAGTGTGTGTGTTTCAGATAAAATTACAAACATATAATTCCCTAAACAACACTAGGCTGGTATGGTTGAAATAGGGATGCCTAGGAGACACTACTGACCAGAAATGAAATTTCCCTCAGTCTAGGTGAAGTCAGGTGATCAAGGGTTTTCATGAGTAGCTTTTCAGATTTAGACACTGATGTCCTACCTATCTCCTTTTCTTACAACCTAAGTTACTGATGGAAACTCTCACTTCAACGAGCCCATATTTCACATATCTTCTGCCATTTTATATATTCATTGTTCTTACTTGTTGCTCATTTACAAACTGAGTACAGAAAACTTAGTTGAATTCTATAGATGCTTTAAAATACTTCATGTTTTACAGCTTGCAAGCTGCAGCGCAAGCTTGTGAAGATCGAGAAGCCCGCTGCGTTTGAAAAGAAGGCCTCAACATGCTACTCCGTGGAGCCGGTTCTGCAGTGCGTAGAAGGCTGCTCACCAACCCAAGTGATCCCGGTGCCTCTTGGCTTCCACTGCGTACCCGTCGGTGAGTCCGTGCAACGCGCATCCACGTGCAGCACAGCTGGAATATCTGAAATGGCTCCTGCTCCCATGGAGCTCCTTGCTCCTCATCCTCTGTGGGGTGGGATGGAGCCTGGCTGGGAGCGCGTATGATCTGCCTTAMGTTACGAGGCTTTCTGGGAATCTCTAGCATGGGACAAAATGGTCTAACCCAGGGCAATATGCCTCATTTTACCTGTCCCTGATCRAGAAAATGTCTGGGGAAGAAATATTTTAAAATATCTGCACTCCAAGAAATGTCTCATTCACTTGCAGCCATCATAACCAGTATTAGTACAGCCTAACCTGCATTTAACTTAATAAAAATGTGAACATTTCAGCAGCTGCACACACTAAAACTATAAGCATCGCCCTTGTCCATCTGTGTTGAGTGTAGCTGTTGTTTGCAGTGGGAAAACGTTGCAGGTTGGTTCATGACCCATTTTCACACAGCCCTGGGTTACACCATGGCACATGTGGCACACGCGTGAGCCCTCAAGGGTGCTGCTATCAGCATGGGCCCCTCTGTGCATGTCCGCAGCTGCACGCAATGATCTGCGGGCTCATTCCAGCCACAGTGGCTGTGTGACTGTACACCGTGCCCTGACTCGCGCTCTCCTGTCGCCCGCAGACTCCGCTCCGGGCGYGGAGGACGGCGCGAGGCTGGAGCAGGAGGCGGAGGACGTGGTGAGCGCGGCGGGCGCGCACACGGCCTGCTCCTGTGCCCGCCAGTCCTGCCCGCCCTGAGGCGACGCTCGCGGGACACCGAGGAGCGGGGACACGCGAGGAGCGGGGACACCCGCGGGCAGCGAGGCGGCTCCGAGGCCTCCCGTGGAACGTTCCCGCCGGCGAGAGCRGCTCGGAACGCGCCCGGGCTCTCACGAGGGCGCTGTCAGTCAATAAAGCGCGGCTCCCCACACGCCTCAGCGTGGCTCTGTCTGTGTCCGCCATCGCCGCCCCGCGGCGGGGCCCGCGGCGGGCGGAGCCGCGCGGGGAGGCGGTGCTGCGCGGCGGCGGAAGCGGCGGAAGCGGCCA